TCCCAGCCAAAAAATGGATGACTCAATTTTTTCGCGCTCCCAACCTGGCCACCGATCAGAAGCCACGGCTCGAAAAAGCGACGGCAAAGGAGCAAAAGAATGCCGCTTTTTTCGAAATTACGGGATTTGAGCTGAAATTTGACTGGTTCCAGTCAAATTCCAAGTTCTACTTGACACAAGTTGAAGACTTGTAAAATCCAGAAATCGCTGAAAACTTCATTTCCTCAAAACTTTGACGTTTCACCGGGTTGACAGGTACGTTGCAACCCAAGAAAATGAGGGCTTTTTGCGCGGAAAAATTAATTTTCACATGCGTTTTTTGGAGATTTTCGGCTTCCGAAGAAGCCATCTCTTTGTTTGCGAATAATTTCCAGAAAAAAGGGTTTCTAGGGCGTTCAAATTGGAAGGAAAGACGTCTGGAATTTGAAAAGGGAAATTCGTATTGTATGAATTTAAAAAAATCGCATATTTTTTTGATTTAAAAAAGTTAAAATTTGAAAAAAATACAGTAATATCAATCTGTCGGAAAAATAATGTGGATTTTCAGCGCCTTGAAGTTTTCTATCGTCGCTATGCGACGGCAGAGACTTTTTTCGACTGTAAGGAGGCGACACATTTTGAAGCGACAAATACGCATTATTTTCCCGACAGGATGATATTGAATGCCAACTAGAGATGGCTCTGGGGCCGGGCCACTTTTTCTTTTATCGCTTTCCCCTCAAAAATCAAATCAAAAGAGATCAGATCGGGTCTCCGAAAGCCTCCGACGTGTTCCGTTGTGGTCTAGTGGTTAGGATTTGCGGCTCTCACCCGCAAGGCCCGGGTTCGATTCCCGGCAACGGAAGAAGATGTTTTTGGCGATTTAGCAGTAAAATAGTCTTCTTTCGGATAAGTAATTGACTTTTTATTATGTGAAAAACATTTAGGTCGTTATTTTATGACAATTTTTTTGTCAAAAAATATGATTTCTGACCATTTTTCCGAAATTTTGGCTTTTTACCTACGGCAACAGAAGGAAACATTTTTGAATTTTTTTAACGTAAAATACGATTTTGATGATCGAAAATGTTATGAAAATTCTTGAAGCTCTCGTTTTTAAAGTTTCCCTTTGAAATTTGCATAAATAAGATAAAAGTTGAGGTTTTTTAAAATACGTTCAAAGTAATTTTCATCTATTTTTTTCAAGTTCCATTCCCTCCACAGTGTTTCAAAAATGTCACCAGCCCCCAAAAAAATCCAAACACGCATATTTGAAATCGAATTCCCATGCCCTTTCTGTTCGTTTTAGAACCCGTGTCCTCATAAGTTATTCCGAAACTTGGGGATGTCACCAAAAAGAGGAAACATTTTCTTGGAAAAAATGAAACAAAGAAAAAAGTCGACGGAAATTTCTTTCGCTCTCTTCGGCGTGAAAAAACCGTTTGTCCCCTCCGGCGCTTTGTTTATGTTTTGCCTCGGGGCCGATAAACGATGTGCGAAAAGTTTTGCAATCAGCAAAAACATTTGGTTTCAAAATTTGGAAATGAAAAAAAACAAAGATTTTTAAAAAAAAATTTTTTACAAATTTAAAAATCCAAAAAATTTTTATGAAAACCTAAAAAATCAAAAAAAAAAATTTTTTTTAGACCACGAAAATCGAAGCTAAAAATCGCATTTCGAAGAATTCGAATCCGATTTGCGATTTTTGTTTGGCCATTTTCGCGAATTTTTACGAGCGAAAGAGGGAGAAGATGGTGATAAAAATCCGAAATACCCTGCGGAAATTCATATTCAAACAGCGTCGGAAAAAGGAGGAAGAATTTTGAGAAATTTTACCCTATGGGGTTGAGTGAGAAATTGCGGCTGGAACAATTCCAGTTATTATGATGAGCATAGGCTGTTTTGTGGGGCTTCTGGGGAAAAAAGTGTTTTCAGGGTGTTAATAAAAAAGTTTTGATGGGAAATGTGATGGCAAATGGATGTTGAGAGGTCAGACAAAAAGTTGAAATAGCAAAACTTTGAATCAAAACTGATATAGGCAAAAAGCCAAAATTTGAAAAAAAAATGGTCAGAAATCATATTTTAAACACTTCTTGACCAAAAATCGTCATAAAATAACGACCTAAATGTTTTTCACATACTAAAAAGTCAAGTATCTATCCAAAAGTAGACTATTTTACTGCTAAATCGCCAAAAAAATCTACTTCCGTTGCCGGGAATCGAACCCGGGCCTTGCGGGTGAGAGCCGCAAATCCTAACCACTAGACCACAACGGAACATGTCAGCGGCGCTTCCGAAACTAATCTGATCTCTTTTGAATTGAGTGTAAAAAGAAGGTTAATAAACGCAAATTAGGCACCAAGAAAAGCAAAAATAAATTTGAATATTTTGTCGACCACCAAAACCATTTATTACCTGAATTTTTTAAGCTATCACAAAATTCGCTCCTCAAAGACAATAGAAAACGGTTGAGAATGGAAGAAGTTGGCATGGGACATCACTCTTTTTCTTTTGAATAATTGCTGTTTTTTTTCCGAAACACGACCTCCCGCAGTGTCAGGGAATTCGCGAAAAGCCGCGAAAAGCATGACCATAAAAATTGTGAAATTTTTGGCGAAAACAAAAGGTTATGTCATCAAAAAAGTTTTTTTTTGATGACTGGAAAATATTTGATAAGCAAAATTAGAGACCATAAAATTTTATTATTGGACCGAAAAAATCAAATTTTAACCTCTAAAAATTCAAGAATCAAAAAAAATTCACTCTTTTTTTGCATAAAAACTCGCCCACTCTGTTCCCAAAGTTGCAAGTGCAGTCAAAAAACAATTCAAATTTAATTCCGAGATTCGCAAATTCAATTTCAAAAGCCTCCGGCCAAACGTGGGCCCAAACAAGGAGGACTGGCTCTAAACAAAAACTCCCCGTTGTTTTTATAAGCTGCAAAAAACATTTATAAACATACAAAAGCATCGTGGTCTTTGTGCTGATTGAGTAACAACAAAGGAAGGGAGATTCGATTTAGTATTGTTATTGTTGTAATAGTAGGTCATCTGCGCGTATTTTTGAGCCGAAACAAAAGTAAAACTGTTTGTGGGAAATAGAGTAATTTTGAAAATAAAAAAATAAACTTACAGGGGAAGTACTCCAAGTGCGACGCTCAGATTTTGATGAAATTTGGCACAAACTTAGAATAGTTTTTTCTAAGATACATGCGAGAATCCTAGCTCGCGCTTTGCAGAAACCACCGAGATTTTTCGACCGAAAGTCGGCGAAGATTTAGGACTTTTTGCCGAATTTCGGCACGAAAAGTTTCATGCCTGTTTTTACTGTAAAGGATAATGCTTCTAAAAAAAATCAAATTTTTTCCGCACGAAACTGCCAAAGTTATGGCCAAAAAGCGGTTTTCTCTCTGACCGCTCTCCACGTTTAGCGTGCTCTCTCGGCGGCAAAAATCGTTCGATATCTCGGCGGCGCCGGCAAAGCGCGAGCTAAAAATTTCAGGAACTGATATTTAGTCCATACCCGACGTGTGTGCAAAATTTAAAGAAAATCTGAGCGTCGCACTTGGAGTACTTCTCCTGTTAGTCTTGAATGATGACCAAAAATTTTTGGACGATTTTCTTGGCCAAATATTGCAAGTTTTGATCCCGAAAATGCCAGAATAATCCGAGATAGTTGAAAGCCCCAAAAGCGGCGTAAAAAAGAAGAAATACTCCCGCGTTTATGCAACAACGCATAAATTGGGAAGAATGAAAAGAAAGACGCTGGGATAAAAGGTGCGCCAATGAGGTAATGAGCGTAATAAGGAGGGGGTTTTGGTGGCATCACAAAGTAGAGTCGCCTTAAACAAGCTTTTGCAAAACTTATCGTGAATCTTGATATAAATATTATAATAGCTGCGGGCCAAGCTGAATGTTGCAGCACGCAATTCGCGTCCCGACTTTTCGGGTCGACGACAGTTTGGGTCAACACAAGTCGATCGATACGAGGCGTACGGCAGGTGGATACCCAACAAAAGGTTGTAGGAAGTGTGTACGAAGCCTGGCAAAGCCGTTGGATGGTCGGCGGACGCTCGGCGAAGGCTCAGCAGGGACTTGGCGAAGGCGTCCGATATGTGCAGTTTTATAACTTTAGCTGTTACTAACGTTAGTATTCTTTATCCTGAGTTGCTTTAACATATAGAAAACCAAAATTTTCGGCAAAAAACGAATTTCCGTATTTTTTATCTAGATATTATTGACGTGAGAAAATGTAAAATACCTCGAAATACGTGTTGAGCTATCCTAGGTCCCGATAAATCTTATTATTTCTACTAACTACGCCTTCTCCTGGCCCTATGCATACAACGACGAACCGGCGCGATCGATAATATCCTTGACCCGAACTGTAGTTAAAAAAAAGTCGTAGCGCCCCGCAATTGGCGTCCAGCTTTCGGCTTCATTAATCTTGTGGAAAATGTTCAGGCGATGATTTCCAGGCTTTGACCTATACTAATCATTATTTTCGATAAATTCAGAAATTTTCTCCGTACATACATTTTTTTTGTATTACATGTACACATTAACTTTGCAATTAGTTTGCTGTAGCTCCCTCACTTTTTTAATTACGGTCATAAACCCTCAAACGCCTCCTCGAATGTCCTTTTTTGTTTTGATTTACTTTACACACATATACTTCCGCGATTGCTCGCGGCAAAAAAAACCTTCGACCCCGCTCCTCGATAAATTACCAAGTTCGAGCGGTCTGCCCGACCTTTTTCAACTATTCCGAGAAAATCTTTCGTAGATTCCCACGCATTTTACGGTGAACGAATAAGTTGTCAGCATAAGCTTGTTTTTCGATTACAACCTTGTTGTAAACGCAATTGGTATATAAGGATACAATAAGGAATGGAGGCCATATCAACTGGTGTGCTTGAAGAAAAAGTGGTAAGTTTGGAGTTGTTACCAATCTATTGCACATTGCATACCTTGTTGTCTATTTCTAAACCAGCTAAAATACAATCCGCTGTTTTCAGCATTATGGGAAAACTCGCTGTCCAACTGGCCGCAGGCATTGCTGGCTCAATGGTGCTGTTCAGCATCATCTCCGCGATTTTCATCGTTACTGACATCAACTCTCTCTACGAGGAGATTATGACCGATATTGTAGAGTTCAAAGAGAACTCCAACAACGCCTGGACTGTCATGATCCAAGCCCAAAGAAAATCGCAGCCAACCTTCGACCAGTTGATCCGTCAGCGTCGTCAATACGACGCCGCTTCCAATGGCTTTGGCTCCTCTCAAGGAGGTTGTGGCGCTTGCGCTAGAAACGTAAACAACTGCCCACCTGGCCCACCAGGACCTCCAGGTCAGCCCGGACAACCAGGTCAAGACGGATTCCCTGGAGATGCTGGACAGCCTGGATTAGCTGGAAGCTCCCAAATCGGAGACTTTGGAGGATCTCGCGGCTGCTTCCCGTGCCCTGCCGGACCTGCCGGCCCACCTGGTCCAAACGGTCCAGCTGGACCTGCCGGCCAAGACGGACAACCTGGAGAGGCCGGATACGATGGAGAACCGGGCTTACCAGGAGGTGAAGGACCGAGCGGAGATGCTGGACAAGACGGACAACCTGGCGCGCCAGGAAACGCTGGACAGCCAGGTGCTCCTGGACAAAGATCCGTTCCCCTTCCCGGCCCACCAGGACCTGCTGGTCCAGCCGGTCCGCCAGGACAACCAGGACAAGCTGGCGCTCCAGGAAGCTTCCCAGCACCAGGCCCACCAGGACCAGCCGGAGCTCCGGGTCAGCCCGGCTTCCCAGGACAGAATGGTCAGCCCGGAAGCAATGGAGGGCCAGGCGCTCCAGGACATGACGCTCAATACTGCCCTTGCCCAGCCAGAGGCAGCGTGGCGAGCGTTGGAGGCAATGCTAACGTTGGAGTTAACACTAACCTTGGCGGCAGTGCCAGTTTTGGAAGCAATGGTAATTTTGGAAGCGCTAATATCGGGAATGGAAATCTCGACAACTGGGGTCAGGACGCCATTATCGAAGTGCCCGCCAGTCCCGCTGATCAGGAGTACGAGCGCAAAATGAGAAAACTGAGACTTCTCAGACAACGAGCTCGTCAAATGCTCATCCGTAATTAATTTAAATTCGAATTAATTTATGGAAATCACATATTTTTGAATAAATTTTCTTTTGCAAAACACTAAAGCTACTTTTCAAAGACCATCGAGAGAAAAAAAGCGATTCGCTCCTGAACAGGCGGGTAAAGTCATAAAACGAGCGGAAAAAAACGTGTCGGAGAGAATAACCGAAATGGACAATAAAAATGTCAACATTGGATGACAATTACGGAGGGAAAAAACGAAGGGAAATGTGGCGGAAAGTAATTGAAGTCAGTTTCGGTATTTGGAAGGTGGATCAAGGTTTCCGATGGTCAGGAAAAAATAGTCAAAGATAGGGTGGTTAGCTGCATGAAGCAAGGTAATTACTATTACCATGCGGTAATTACAATCATCATATCCGCAGGATATCAATGACAGGTATAATCTCTTTATAAATAAAATAGCTTTTATAAAAAATCTCTCCAAGTTTCAACAATAATATTACTTTTCTCGTGAAGGCATGCAACAATGCGTACTTTCGCAAGACATTAAAATACCATCGAAATGCCCTTCAATTCTTGCTCGCGGGATTCCACGCTTTTCACGGAAACTTCGGGGCTTTGGAACTTGGAGAGAAACAATGAAAGATCTTAAAAATTTTTGGGAAAAATCTTTTCCTTACAGTGAAATTTTGAAGGTAAAGTTTTCGGGTTTTTTTCGAATTGTATAGAGATACTGCGGATTGGAGACAAATGAAAAAAAATTGAATTTAAAATTGTAGTTTACCCTTTCTATCATCTTTTTACGAAAGGGAAAGAAAAATATTGAAGAGGCTTGAACAGAGAAAAAACGATTTTTTTAAACCAAAGTCAAGAAATCTCATTTTTTGCCAGATTAAAAAAAAAAACTCACTAAAATTTGATAAAAATCCCACAAAATTTCTTTAAAAATCTTCGTTAAAATTCATCCCAATAATCATCGGAATCTGAGTGTCACACTGATCCCTTTTTTAACCCATATTTTCCCAGGTCAAGAAAAAAAACCGCCCCAAAAGCGTTGGGAACGCTGCCAACCCTTCAGAAATGCTCCCTCGTAATATGCAAATCAGACTGTTGGCCTTCTGCTTCTTTGCTGAATTTTATTTTTACTTTTATCCCCCGATCAGAGTAATTAATTTCAACGAGTCAAAGACCACAAAATGAGGTCTTTTTTCAAATTTATTGATGGCCAACTGCGCGGAAATCAATTAATTACGCAAACAAAGCAAATGTTTTAGCAGAAACATATTGAGAGCGATTTTTTTGAGAGCAGTTTGATTTTGGAGGAAGAAAATTTGCATATTTGAAAAATTTTGTATATAATTTATAAAAATTTGAAGTTTTCAAAAATTTCAAAAAATCATTAAAAAAGTCAAAATAATCCAAAAATTCCACAAAATTCAGAAGAAAATCGCAAAACAACCCACTTTCAGCCCAAAGCCAAAGCCCATATAATGGTCATTCCCTAGGACAACATGAAAGAACAGATGCCGCAGTCACCCATTCTCAACTTTTTTATGTCCAATTTATCCAAAATGAGCTTTCGCGAAAACTCATCCCAAACTCACTCCGAAAGAAGCGCACGGTGGTTGGTGGAATGGGCGAAGACTCGGCACGCTCGGAGGTCACTACGGCCGTTGCGAACGCCTCATCCGACAATGTGTTGAGCGATTGCGATGAGCTGCAGTCGGTAAGGACAGCTTGTTTTTTTGTAAATATTTTTGGGCGATTTTTTTATTTTTGAAGGATTTTTAGTTTTTTGAATTATTGAGATTTTTGATTTTTGCAAAAAAAATCTTTTTGATTATTTTGGAATGAAATTTTTTGAATCTCAAAAAAGTTGGTTTCTTCAAAAAATCAAAATTTCTTGAGATATTTTTTGGTGTATTACGGAGACATCCGGGCTTTTTTTCAAATTAGAAACATTTTTTCTAATCAAAAAAGCTTTATTTTACCAATAAAAATGAAAAAAAAACAAAAAATGCCACGAACCGGGATCGAACCGGTGACCTTTAGATCTTCAGTCTAACGCTCTCCCAACTGAGCTATCATGGCGCGCTCTTCCACTTTTCTTTTTTGACCTCCTAAAAATAAAATTTCAAAAATTTCGAGTATACCATGGTCATTTCGAATCAATTTTTTCAGGTCTTCTCCAACCTAAGCGTGTCCGACCTCAACTCCGAACTGCACACCACGTCCGTGTCCACGGCCTGCTCCGATCAGCCGAGAACTGCGGACGACTTTGCGCACGATCTGGATGGAGAACTCGTTCGGACTCTCACGGAAGATGCTGCGATCGAAATGCGAAAGAAGAAGTTGAAGATCAAATTTGCGGCAGAGAGGACGGTGTGCATCACGAAGAAGAGAGATCGTCCTGAGGATTTCGGGAAATGCGGATATCGTCAAACCCCGAATCCGTGGAGAAGACATGGCGCTGTGAAGACGTTGCATCAGGTTGGAGGATGGTGTTCGAAGAATAAAAAGGACAGGAATACGGCTTTTGTGAAGGTGAGTGACTGTTTTTTGTCAAGAATGATATATTTGGCGCTACGACTTTTCGTTTTCGGGTAACCTCAAAATCGATCGATACGGGGCATAGGGCAGGTAAATACTCAAAAAAAAGTTGTAGCAAATGCCTACTACGTCTGGCAAAGCTGTTGGATGGTCGGCACTCGCCCGCCGGAGGCTCGGCGGAGAGTTGGGAAGGCTTGCAATATTCCCACTTTTTCTAATTTTAGTTATTCCTACAGTTGGTTTTCTTTACGCTGACTGACTATATTGTAACATATAAAAGATCAAAATTTATGGATCTTTGGTGACAAATGGATTCTCCTAGCCTCCACCATGCATAAAACGACGAACCGAGGCAATCCATAGTATCGTTGACCCGAAATGTCGCTGATTCGAAAAGTCGTAGCGCCAAATATATTTTAACGTTTTACGGGACACCCTCGCATAAAGATGGTTGAACATCTCGACTGCGGTTGCAAATATCAAAAATAGTTTTTTTTTTGAATTAAGCTCTACACTACTTATTGTTAGACTGCATAGGCAAAGGTTAGCGAAATTTCGAGCATAAAATTTTGACAATTTCACAATTTTAATTTTTTCATTACATTTTTCCGGATTTTTTTAAATTTCAGCCCGGTTCTCACCCACCTAAAGCTCCAAATCACCCTCATATCTCGCTCCACCACGACCCGGATGCCTTGGAAGCGAAGCTGTTCTGTTTTGTCATAAGCAGACAACAAGATGGCACTCAATGTGCAAATTCCATTGCTGATCAAATCGCTGGGAAATGCGAAAACTTGGAGATAAATGATGTAAAAAAGAGCGTCAAGACGCAAAAGAAGACTTTAGAAATTACGGATGCCCCTGCTATTTTTGTGAAGGATACGTCGATGAGTTCACTGTCTATTGGGACCAAGCGGCCGAGAAAAGGGAAGATAAACAAGAAACTGGGGTAAAATACGCGAGCAAGAAGAATACTCAAGATTTACCAAGATTGTAACTGATTTTTTTGAATAAAAAGAATTCTTGGTTGACATGGGAAGTATACTTAAGTACCCCAAGTGCGACGCACAGATTTTCTTTAAATTTTACACACACGCCGGTCATAGACTAAGCATCAATTCCTGAAAGTTTTAGCTCGCGCTTTGCTAGTGCCGCAGAGATATCGAACGAACTTTGCGGCCGAGAGAGTACGCAAAACTCGGAGAACGGGCAAAGAAAAAACACTTTTTGGTTATACCTTTGCTAGCTTTGTGTGGAAAAAAATTATTTTTTGTGGAAAGATTAAACCTTACGGTAGAAATAGGGATGCAACTTTTCGTGCCGAAATTTGGCAAAAAGTCTCAAATTGTCGACGACTTTCGGTCTAAAAATCTCGGTCGTTTTTGTAAAGCGCGAGTTAGGATTCTCGTAGATATTTTAGAAAACATTGTTCTAAACTTATGCCAAGTTTCATCAAAATCTAAGCGTCGCACTTGGGTTGCTTTTTCTGTTAGATCAATTTTATATTTTTTACTATGTATTATATTTTTTCATCAATCTACATAGCGATTGATGATTTTTTTAAAATGTAATTTTTACGATTGGACAGTCCATAACTTTGCGAAATTTTGAATACGTGATCTTTAAAAAGTCTACGCACTTTTGAAAAGTCCTAGTAATATCACCTCTCTCTGCACTATGTCGTACAAACATCCGTTTTCAATCATCAATAATGGCCGTTCAGGTCTTTTCATCCGTAAAACAAAACAATTTTAATCCAAACTTCGCCCATACATATTTTTTATTTCCTGCAAACGTGTGAAACAACACTTTCTTCGGGACACGTTTTCCTCCAATAACCCCATCACTGTTCAGAAATCGTGCCAGTGATTGATTGGGCCTCTGGGCAAACAAAGAATTTTCAACGCCATTCAATTAGGCGATGACGTCATTCAGCCAAAACAAAAGTTTTTTCGGCCGTTTGGTAAGACTGGTTTCTGTGCGTCTGTTGAAAAGTCCATAGCTAATTGATCTAGGCGCCGATCATGTTTATACTGCCTCCGGGTGTTTTATAACTTTAAGTCATAAAAATTTCGACTTTGCACGGAGAGAAAAAATTTTTTTTTTAAGTATTGTAATACTATTTGCTTTGATTGTAATTAAATATTAGCTTTGTTTCCCCCCCCTAACTTTTCAGCCCGAAATCTCAGCTGGCCCTAGTAAGCAGAAGACAACATTTTCAGCCTTTACCTATGGCCCATGTAGAGCCAAGGCGCAAAATCATCGTGTTGTATGCGATGAATTGAGACTCATGCCATGCAATTTCGCCTTGTACATTAAAAATGAGTGTTTCCCAAAACATGTGCGGCCAACAAAAATTGAAGACGATAGCTTTGTTTTGAAGCGCTCAGACCACATTTCGAAAGATAAGAGTACGAGATTTTACGAGCGGTAGAATTTCAATTTCCTTCGCAAGATGGCCGACTCTAAATTTTAACGACCAAGTCTTGGGGCCGGTAAGAGTTTGAGTTGGATTTATTTTGCCAAGAAAAGCCAGAGGTGGTAGGTATAGCGGACAAACAGTTTTTATTTCACCTAGGGGCTTATTAATCAAGGCGGATTTTGTTTATCCTAGACTTTACGGAGCGGCCAAGATATTGAACGGCCTATGATTTTCTGTGGAAGAACAGGGGCGCTATGACTTTTCGGGTCAGCGACAGTTCGGGTAAACGATACTAGGGATCGCGTCGGTTCGTTGGGGGTATGCAAGGGGAGGCTAGGAGAAGGCTTAGTTAGTAGAAATAATAAAATTTTTCAGGTCCTAGGATACCTTATCACCTATTTTGAGGTTTTTTACATCAATAATATTCAGGTAAAATTTCCGGATCTTCGTTTTTTGTCGAAATTTTTTTCCTTTGTTAGTTACAGTAACTCAAGGTAAAGAAAACTAACATCAGTAGTAGCTAAAATTAGAAAAATTGGACATATTGTAAGTCTTCGTCAAGTCTCCGCCGAGACTTCGCCGAGCGTCCGCCGGCTATCCGACGGCTTTGCCAGGCTTCCTAGGCACTTCCGACAGCCTTTTTGTTGGGTATTCACTTGCTCTACGCCTTGTATCAATCGATTTTTTATTGACCCGAACTGTCGTCGACCCGAAAACAGGACTGTGCTCTCCAGTACGAACAAAACGCCTTTTCTTTTTTATCTCGCCAAAACTGGAAGATCTTGTCCCACATAAGGCATCAAACATAGTACACTGTTATTAAACTACTCCGGAAAACCCTGATTTCACCGCTCTTCTTCCAAACAGACGGCCATAACACCCGCAAAGCGGCCAATTATAAAAGTTCAAGGTTCATGGCCTCTAACCTTGTCCTATGGCCGCACTTTTCCCCCTACTCCTCTCTCCGCGCCCATAATGTATTCATATGGAAATCGAATCCCTTTGTTTGGGCGAACTCCCACTCCGACGGGAGCGGCAAACTTGTTTCGAGAAAGTGTTTTTACGTGTTTTTCGGTAGGTTGTTTTGGCCGCCTTCCGCGTTCCCGGAGGGCATCTTCTGTTTTTCTCGGGAACACGTGCTTTCAACAGTTCGCTGTGTTGTCGTTCCGGGTCCCACCCGAGAGCGAAGCAAATAGGCACTGATGTGTTTTTTGCAAATCGCCGCATGGCGCTCTTTGTTGTTCTCTTCAAAAATAACTGGCAGAGTGCCGAAAACGGGACGGACGGTGACGTAGATGGGCATCTTGGACTTGATTTTGTTCCGGCTTTCTTCTGTTATGCCAATTTTCGAAAAATGGTTTTTTTTGTAAAAGAAAGCTTCCATTGATATTTTTTTACTATTTATCTCGTTTTAGGTTTCTAAATCGACCTGTTTTCTTATTATAAATGATAAAAAAAGCTTTTTGTCTGTTATGAAAATATGTAAAAAATCATCAATAAAAACACACGTAGAATTTTTTTACGCTAACATTTTCCCCGAAGTGACAAAATTCAAATTTCGACAGAGAAATCTGACGTTTCAGTCCGATTCCCTGAGGGCTTTTTCTCAAATATTTTTCAAAAATCCTTTGATACATCCGATGAATTTCTAAGATGTGGTGTGTGGTTTCGGGGAATTTCATTTTTAGCCCGTATAAAATATTGTTTTATATTTTTAACCGGACTTCCTGGTTTAAAAAATTTTTGAGCTGAATTTTGTCGAAAACTGGGACGAATTGAATATTACGTTACTTATTGTTAGTTATTTATTGAAAATTGCAATTTTTTTTATTTTGGCGGAAACTAACAGGGGAAGTACCCCAAGTGCGACGCTCAAACTTTGATGAAACTTACCACAAATTTAGAATAATTTTTTCGAAAGTATATGCGAAGATCCTAGCTCGCGCTTTACAGAAACAAATGAGATTTTTAGACCGAAAGTCGGCGAAAGTTTGAAGATTTTTTTTCGAATTTCGGCACGAAAACTTTCATGCCTATCTCCACCATAGAGGGTAATGTTCCCACAAAAAAATTATTTTTTCCGCAGGAAAATAGCAAAGTTATGGCCAAAAATTGTTTTTCTCTATGACCGCTCTCCGCGTTTAGCGTACTCTCTCGGCGGCAAAGATCGTTCAATCTCTCGGCGGCGCTTAAAAAGCGCGAGCTAAAACTTTCAGGAATTGATACTTAGTTCATGCTCGATGTGTGTGCAAAATTTTAAAAAATCTGAGCATCGCACTTTGGGTACTTCCCTTGAAAATTCCAAAATTTTTCAGTGCAAAACACTCGATTTTTCAAACCAACAATTTGCACGGTGCAAAAAAATATTCGCCCCTATATTTTTTCTCTATAAAATTTTTTCCCGAAAAAACATTATTGTGACAATTCCGTTTTCTCAAAAATACCCTCATTTATTTTTTCCGAAAATTCCATGCATTTTTTGCAACTTCAATTAAACTTGACACTTGAGAGCGTCCCCAAACCGACTCAAAAAAACTTGATTGGCCTCCAGAAAGAGAATTGAAACCGGCCCGTCCTTCTTTTGTTCGAAACATTTCGGAAAAAGGCCCTCCGGGTCATTTCTAATTTTATCCCCGTCTTGAATGGCTTTTGCTTTGTGACGCAAGATATTTGAATTTTTCGCGGATTTGATTCAATTTTGTTCGGATTTCAAGGGGTTTTTGTTATAAGAAGGTTGTTTTTGCAAGAAAAGTTGTTGAAATAAGATTTTCCTGGGATTTTTTTCAAACATGGCCCATATTGTTTGACTAGGCCACATGTCATTTCCTGAAAATTTTAGCTTTTACAAGGTCAGCCGAGATATGTCGAGCCGACAAAAGACGGCTGTAGCTCTATGGGTTTCGTTTGGAATAAAACATTTTTTTTTCAAAGACGAATCCCATTTTTTCAAGCCAAAAATTGCAAAAAAAATCCAATTTTTTGCCAATTTTCGAACTAAAAATCTCGATTATTTCTGCATTGCGCGGACTAAGAATTTGGAATTTGACTTGGAAAAACTTAACTAGACTTTGTCCCAAGTGTCATTATAATCCATGCTCCTAATTAAAAAATTTTTTGGTCCCGCCACGAAAACATTTTTCATCCGAAAAACCTTTGAAATTGCACATTTATCCTACAAATCGCTAGCGAGACGATGCCTTTAATTGATTTTCCATTTTTCAAAACTTCAGATGGAACTTCTTCGAAATGTTGAGCTAACGACAAAATCCGGCAAGCTCGTCGACGCCGATGTTCTGCACGGGAAGATTGTCGCTTTTTATTTCGGTGCTCATTGGTGTGAGCCCTGCCGAAGATTCACCCCAATTCTTCGCGATTTTTATGTGAAAGCCGCACTTCAAGGGGTGGAAATTGTGTGGTTTTCGAGGGATGAGACCATGGAGTCGATGGAAGAGTACTTCAAAGAGCACGGGAACTGGCTGCGAGCGCCGTTTCAGCAACCCGGCTGCAAGTGAGTTGGTTTTGAGGGGAATTTTGCTTTAAAAATTTAAAAAATAATACTGGCGGTACCATTTCTGCATAGTAAGGTAAAAAATGCTGCAAAAAATCGACTTTTTCGAGCAGCATCCAAAAAGTATAATTGGCAAAAAAAATTCGTCTAACCGGTTCTCCTCATTTTATGTGCTGTCTTGAAAAAGATATTTCAGAATCTTACGTGGGGACCTGATCCAGTGGCAAAAAATACCATTTTGCATCCGGGAAGTATCAAAAATGTGGCAAAATGCTTCCCTCTCTAAGTGAAAAACTCCGATTTCAAAAGCGCGCCCATTCTTTTTCTGAGGGAATGTGCTCAAAACGAAGTTTTTTCGCTTGGAGAGGGAGGCATTTTGCCACAATTTTGATGCTTTCCGGATGCAAAATGGTACGTTTTTTGCCACTGGATCAGGTCCCCCACTGTAGTTCAAAATCTTACAAATGGAAAGCTAAATTTTTTCGCTTGATGTACGGTCTATTTGAAGTATACGTGCAAAATTAAGAGTAAAATCTATGGCGCAAAATTTCTGGATTTTGCACTTTAGGCAACAAACAAATTTTTTGTAGTAAAAGGCACGTGCGTTTTACTTTTTCCGGTTTTCTTGTCTATGGGCCCTCTAGAGAAGATTTGAGTGCTTTCTGTCTCGAAAACAGCCAAAATTCGCAAGTCTTGTGTGAGATAATAGACAAATTTCACCCACGTGACTTATCTTGCATCCTGGTTACTAATGAGATTTTCTACTTGTATGCTGTACAAAATCTATTTTCAGCGTTTTTCAAGGAACAAGACGTATTTTTATTTGTTTTATTTCAGATGCTGTTGCTTAACCTTCGTCAAGGAACAGCAGGGATTCAATTACCTCAAGAAGTATCACATTGACAGCCTGCCAACCCTAATCGTTGTCAAACCGGATGGCACGGCGGTCAATAAAAATGGAGTCGATGACGTTTATGTAAGCCTGGAAATTTTGCCAATTTTTGCCACAAAAATTTTCAAAAAAAATTTTTTTCGGCATTTTTCTGACTTTTTCCGAGTAAAAGAGTTTTCCAATACGTAAAATTAAAATTTCAGAACAAAGACCCGGACGATGTTGTGGCGGAATGGAAACGTCAGGTTTACCAATAAATTCGACAAATCTGCCTGATTTTCAATGCCGGTACCTCAAATATCAAGTGCTCGAGGGTCTCTGATGACTTTTTCAAAACATTGCAATCAAGTCTAACTTATTTATTCAATAAATTTCATTCAACTCTAACTAATTTATTCAATAAATTTTTGAATCTTGTCAAAAATTTGAATCAATAAAGAACAGGGCAAAAAATGGGGCAAAAGCTTGTCCCAAGCGTTGAGAACTCTATGAATTTGCCTGCAACATAAAGCTTATAGTCCTGGCTGACACTTTAGGGCCTTCATTTATTCCAAGGCCACTGAAAATTGCCTTGAAAGGGTAAGTAAGCCCGAAAATCCCAAGGTGAGAGTCGAACTCGCGAGCGCTGGAGTCGAAAGCAAACAGCAAACCACTCGACTATAAAAACACGCCACCCAAAGAACCTCGTTTTCGACGTTTTTGGCGGGAAAACTGAGAGGGGGTACTCCAGTTGTGCGACGCACGTTAAATTGATGTGAGATAAGCTATCGGTCGGGTGAATGGATTGGCAAAGTCGCCAGAAAAAGACGCGAAAAATCTTCTTGTCGGGGAAGGAATGGGGAATTTTAGGAGCGAGAGAGTACGCTTTTCCGTGTCTTTTCTCTGCCTTCTCTGTGAAATCAAAACGAAGTGTAAAAAACCGATCGCAAAGAGTCTATTCTGGTCACCGGACTCTTCAGTTTGACGTGTGACGCTCAGTTAAATGAAACTTGGTAAAAAGACGAGATTTCTAGCTCGCGTTTTCCAGAAAGGACCGAGATCTTTAGGTCATAAAAGTTATGACATTTTATAAAACTTTGGCATGACAAGTTTCATACCTATTTCTTCTGTAGAGCATGTTTCTATGGCAAAAAAAATTTTTATGAAGCATACTGACAGAAAAAAAACAAGCCAAATTTTTAGACAACCGATTTATACAATGCAACGGAACAAAAAACACAACCAAGCAAAACAATGTTCAAGGGTTGTACTCGATGGGGAGGTTCTTTCTGCGGACCATACCGTCACCCTGGAACCATTCGCGGCGGAACTGCTTGGCGGCTCCATCGGGGGTGTTGGTCCATTCGATGGTGATACGGTCGTTGTTGGTGTCCTCCTGGCCGAAGCTGAAGGCGTCGCAGGAGACGGCAACCAAGACGGACTCCTTGGGGTCGAGGACTCCGCATGGAGGGTCGACGCCGAGGCGCTTCATGTTGGTGGTCTTGAAGGCCCATCCGATACGACGACCACCGGCGTTGATGACCTGGAAAAGGAGGGTTTATATTCAAATTTTGCGGAGTTTGTCAAGTTTTATCAAAAGGTATCCATAGAGTATCAAAAGGACTCAAAGCTAAAAGTTATCCAAAAGGTCTCAAAAGGTATCAAAAAGCCTCAAAAAATAACAGTGTCAAAAGATATCCAAAAGTATCAAAAGGTTTCAAAAGACCTCAAAAGATAATAAAAGGTCTCAGAAAGTATCCAAAAGTATCAAATATCCCAAAAGTTCTCAAATATTACCAAAATTTCGAAATGTATCAAAAAACTTCAAAACGTATCCAAAAGTTTCAAAAAGTATCCAAATTTTCCCAAAAAACTCCCCAATTCTTACCTTGATGTGGTAGGTGTGCTTGTCGTCGTAGGGGGCGTTGAAGACGACCTTGGTGCCGGGCTGGGTGGTGATGTCTCCTGGAGGAATAGATTGGGCCATTGCGACGAGAGAGCGAACAGAACAAGAGCCGAGAGAACCGGGATCGAGTGGCGATTCTGGAGCCCGCTCGGGCTTTTATACAACCGCATCCGCACTTTGGAATTTTGAAATTTCCCCTCGAAACGACGGAAAATCGATGTTTTTGAGGAAAAAATCGATTTTTTCGACGGATTTTTTATTTTTTTATTGGTAGAATTTTTTGCGGTCGGTCATGCAAACTCGTGCACGAGAAACTCGAGAAGAAACAACAGTCACAAGGACCACGGATGTCAGCAAACTCATCACCTTGGACCTCGGAAATCCGACTCAAGCCGGAGATTTAAAATTGAACTTGAGGAAGCGCGCTTCCGACCTCTCCGAATGGTCGCACAGTGAACCCGAAGACTTGAACATCTACGATCCTCGGCTTTGGGAGTGTTTCGGCGATTTTTATCCACCAGAGCGCGATCGTGCAACGGTTGGAGGACGTCCGTTCGGAATAATCCGGCCTTTCCTAATATTGGATCGATGGTTGGCGTTCCAGAAGAAGAGGTGGGCTACATTGGGGATGTTTTTACAGGCCTGTTATGATTGGTGGTATGGAGTTGAACAGGTGGGATTTTTCTTCGATTTTTTTGGATTTTAGGTACTAAATTGAGTTTTTGGCTGGTATAAAATGGAATTGCCTTTGGAAGAGCGAAATTTGACAAGGTATAGTTGATACTGTCAATAGTAGAGTGTATTCGGTCGTTTACATCAGGGTTTTCCTCAAAATTCAAAAATTATTGCAATAATTAGCTAGATGCATAGTGCAACATCACATTTTGCGCAATTTTTTAAACTGAATTGGATAGAATAAGAAATAGGCAAACGGGAGGGACAGTGTTTCTTGCCCTTTGATCGTTTTTAGTGAACAAGCAGCAATTTGACTTTAATTTAGGGACCTGGTCAGAAATACTTGACGGATTTCGAGGCTCAAACTCGGCCAAAACCCATTGAAGGAAAAGAGACTCAATCAACAACTAATCAGGCGACTAACGTTACTGCCGTCACCAAAGTGGATCTGAAGCCGAAGCCCAAACCGAAAGGTCTTACCGAATGGATCGTTGACGACAGCCATGACGAAGAAAGCTGGGCCGATCCCGATGACAGCGACTCTATGCCTCTGGAAAATGATCTATGGCCTGTGTATGAGATTTTCAAGGATCGGGGGGTGAGTTGTAGATGTCTTTGATCAATTTTTTATCATTTTAGGTAGGTCTCGACACCGATGGAGACATATCCGACCTGGAGTTTTTGCCAGGGAAAAGATGCGTGAAGAAAAAGAAAAAGCTTGGTGGTGTACCAAAAGATCTGCAATTTATCACGGAAGATATTTGGGATCGAATCATCGGTGAAACAGTGTAGGTTATTTTAATTTTTTGTTGAAACTTTAGGGATGGAAGAAAAGAAGTTTGCGCTAGACTAGGTTTCGTGTTTATCAATCGAAAGGATCTTTGGGCTCTTTTCGAGCGATAGCGACATGTTCCGTTGTGGTCTAGTGGTTAGGATTTGCGGCTCTCACCCGCAAGGCCCGGGTTCGATTCCCGGCAACGGAAGAAAGTTTTTTTTTGAAATATAAATAAAATGGCCATTGTATTCTAGGTGGCAGTTTTAAATCGTTAGTTTTTTAAAGCTACGACAAAAAATATTTTCTGTTGAGACTTTTTTGACGATTTTTTATTGGATTTCTCTGAAATTTCTGGTCTTTTTAGCCCCATTCCATCGTTTGCCCTGGAGATGTCAGCCAAACGCGTCAAAGAGGAGGAAGACATGGAGCAAACAAGAATCAAGAATCTCAGGAATTCAGCTTGTTCAAACGCTGGCAGATCGAGAAACAGGATGCAGAAGAGAAAGGCTGAGTAAAGTGCATGGAGCGTTTTTGTGAATCATGGAAGTATAGGGTAATCTGTTGTAAATAGTTGGAGGAGCCGTACAATGTACAGTATATTGTTTACTAACCAATCTTAGAGAGAAAAATAGAGATTTTTTGGATTTTTTATGACGATCCTAGTTGTACGTAAAATCAAATTTATTTTGCGAGTTGATTATTTTTTACATTTTGTTTATCTATTTGCCATAGACTCCAGTTGACCATCCAATTCCTCCAACATAGGGGATATTTAATGACGTTCCAATTCCATATTGACCAGCTTGCCCGGCACTTCCTCCACCGTAGTTGTAGCCACTGTATCCGGCATTCCCAACAGTCTGTGGGTAGTAGTATTGCTGCTGTTGTTGTTGCGGATAGGAGTATCGTTGATAATATTGTTGTCTCGGCTGATAGGCAGAGTAAGATACGGGCGTCTGGTACTGCTGAGAAGACGGCTGCAGAGTCTCAACGTACTTTTGATAGTAGTAGAGATACTTTTTGTAGGCTTCTTGTTGCTTTTCGGTCTGCGAGGGTTGCCTCGGCTCGGCGGGCTTTTCGTCCGTGGTGGTTTTGTTGGCTGAAATAGGACCTACTTGACTGTAAAGCTTTCGAATAATCAGGTGTAAAATACGGGGCTTTCCTTTACTCACCCTCCCCTTCTTCTGGCTCAGGTTCCGGAAGCTCTGTGGCAGTAGAAAACACTTCTTTCAGAGCCTCGTTCTCTTCGACTTCTGGCTGAAAAGTTAAATTTTTATTTGCTTGTGTGGTCCGAAAAGGACCTCATCCAGTGGCGAAAAGCGTACCATTTTGCATCCGAGAAGTATCAAAAATGTGGCAAAATGCTTCCCTCTTCAAGTGAAAAAACTCCGGTTTCAAAAGCGCGCCCGCTCTTTTTGTGAGGGAAAGAGCTCAAAACGAAGTTTTTTTCACTTGGAGAGGGAAGCATTTTGCCACATTTTTGATACTTCCCGGATGCAAAATGGTACATTTTTTGCCACTGGATCAGGCCCCCCACTGTATCTCTGCTGACTCAAAAGAAGCGAGTTAATCTTTTCTGAAACTGCTACTCGAAAAATAGCAATTCAACTCGAGTCTTACCTCATCAGTTGTCTCCTCTGCTTTCGGCTTCTCGGCCTTTTTCTTTTCGGCCTTCCCTTTCTTCTTGCCTTTATCAATGGCCTCTTTCTCTGCGGCCTCTGCATCCGGTTGAACATCTTCGTCCTGATCTTCTTCGATTTCCTCTTCCTCCACGGCTTTCACTTCTTCTTTCTTTGGTTTTGCCGCTTTCCTCTTCGCCATCATCTTTGGCCGTGAAATATCTCCTAATCCCTCCATTGGGGCATCCCGATAGACACGATGCTGTTTCGGCAACGGGAGCGGCGGAGGAGTTGGCATTGGGTCATCACTGTCGACTAGTGACTGATCATAGCGACGGCCGGCTTCTCCATCCAGTAGTGTTGATTTTCTAGAATTTATAGAAAATTTATCGAATAAGTTAGTTAAGAGAAAGAGTTATTTGAAAGCGTGTTTTCAAACTCACCCCGAGCTGGGACCTCTTCTTTCAGCTTTGGCTGGGCCCAAGATTCGGAAGTTTCGGATGTCACAAATACTCAGCGTAGGTTGTTTGTGACACAAGTAGTTTAGCATGGTATTGTATCTGTGGTCATGTTCAGCTTGGTCGTTGTTGTAACCTGAAAGATTTTTCTTTTACTTCCATAGGAAATCAAAAACAATTGTGGGTATTGAGCGCACTAAAAAAGCACCACTTAAAATTTGAAAAAATAAGTAATACTAACAGGGGAAGTACCCCAAGTGCGACGCTCAGATTTTGATCAAACTAGGCACAAATTTAGAATATTTTTTCCTAAAACATATGCGAGAATCCTTGCTCGCGCTTTACAGAAACAACCGAGATTTTTAGACCGAAAGTCGGCGAGAGTTTGACAATATTTAGCGAACCTGGGCACGAAAAATTTCATACCTATTTCGACCGTAAACGGGTAATGCTTCCACAAAAAATCAATTTTTTCCACACGAAGCTAGCAAAGTTATAGCCAAAAAGCGTTTTTCTCTCTGACCGCTCTCCGCTTTTAGCGTTCTCTCTCGGCGGCAAAGGTGGTTCAATATCTCGGTGGCGCTTGCAAAGCACGAGCTAAAACTTTCAGGAATTGATATTTAGTCCATGCCCGACGTGTGTGCAAAATTTAGAGAAAATATGGGGGTATCTATCTTGTAAAGCTAATTGACTTCCAAAATGTAATCGCAATGCTGAAAAAAATCTGAGCATAACGCCTTGCACAAATTCCTTGCCAGGCTAAAATAAGCATTCTCCAGCGGGCACTCCAAATTTTTGCTTCGTTTTTTAACCCTCCTTTCCACTTACCTGCAGCTTCGCCGAGAAACGGTAGCGCGAGGAGAAGCAGTAGAATCGAGCCCGTATCCAAAGTCATTCCGACTTAAACTGGAGTAAACACTGTCTTCTGACAAATAAAAGATATTTACAATTCGCTTCCTCAAAATTCTTATGATTCCCCTCTCTGGAGGAATGCCCTCGAATTTCATTGGAGGCGATGACCTTGAACAACTCTTCGAGAGCGTAAAATGTTTTTTCTGCAGTGGTATTATTACTATTCCTTTTTCGTCTGATTCCTGCAGTTTCCAAATCATGGTGGAGGAAAGTTGTTGATGTGGATTTTGTTGTGATCCGTTGGAAGTCGAACTTTTAGAGTTTTGAAATTTATTTGGAAAACATTTTGAGAACTCAAAAGTCGAATAAAAACGATAATAAAAGAAAAAACTTTGGGAGTACTGTAAAATCAAAGAGAAATGAGATCATTTTGGCTATGAGGAATAAAAATTACTAGTCGCTATAAATTACTAGTAAAGGAAAGTGCAAAATAAAAATTAGTCATCGTCTGGAGTGTCGCGGCCTTCGTCCATGGTGGAATCCCCGGATTTGCCGGACGGACATTTCTTGTCCTTCATTCGGCGGTTTTGGAACCAGGTCTTGACCTGAAAATGTGCAGGGTTATTGCAAGGATTGAATGGATCCTATATCAGTCGGCGCAGTGGCATTGTGCTCATTATTTTCCCGGCAGACTGTCGAGATATTTAGGTCATAATTTTAAGAAAACAAAAAGTTGGCCTTAATAAAAAGAATCCGATTTCTTGAAGTGATTTTTCTTTTCAAAATGCAATTTTTTGACCTCTGGCTCTTAAAGAAAATTCGAGCGTTGTGCCTCTAGCAATTTCCCGGTTATTTCATCGCACTTATCCTACTATAACTTAGATCTAGTGCCCTAGTTATACTTCTTTTTCCGCCCTCCAAATTGCCCTTCAATTGTAAACTCTCTGACCTGTGTTTCGCTCAGCTGCAACGAAGCCGCCAGCTCGATTCTTTCGGGAGTCGATAAATACCTCTGCAACTCGAACCGATTCTCCAGACCTTGTAATTGGGCGTCGGAGAACACTGTGCGCGCCTTCCGTCTGCGGTAGGATTTGTTTTGCTGAATGAAGTTGGAGGCATAGAGCCGGAGGGCTTGAGCATGCAGCATTTCCCATGGATTCACTGAAAATTTATTGTAAAATTATTATAAATATATGTGTATGTTTTTGATGACTAATGGAAATCGAAAAAACAAGGAGATTTCGACGTACTCCCCATCATCATGCCTTCGCAGCTCATTCCGGGCGTTGTCATGAACCCGTTTTTCATGATGCTCTCCATACTTGTTGTTTCCATTGCCTCGGGCATTCGAAAATTCCCCATGAATGCGGGCGGAGGCATTGATTGTGCGGCTGCAGCTAGCATAAATTTTGCGCACTGCTCGAAGTTCATACTGTTCGGACTTGGCGTCCCGGACGTCGTGGAGTTCACTGTACTGGACGCTGTGGAATTTGGAATACAGAAAGAGCCAAATGGAAGGCTTAGGACTGGCGGTGCGAGGGATGATAAGGACGAAGCTGTTGTTGAGGTTTCAGATGAATTTTGAAGAGATTTTGGGTTGGAAGTGGAGTTTTCGTCGTCATTTTCGGAGGCTTCGGAGGTCACAAATTTGAGGTTTGAATTGAGATCTTGCGATTTTAGGAGCAGCTCGTTGATGGAAAAACCGGGATTCAGCGACTGGGAAGGGTCCACTGACATTCTAAATAGGTCCATTAAGAAAATTACGATTGAAACTGTAATTGCTGGCTCGAAATTGAAACATAAAGAAGTTGTAACGGAATAAAATCAAGAATACTATTTTAACTCGCTGTCACGAGCTTTTTTCTACCGTAACCCACAAATATTTCCCCCTTAGACCTGTCAACCCCCCTAAAACAATCAAAAAAATAACAAGCTGGTCGCTAATAAGCGTCTACACGATAAGATCCTTGGAGTTTTAGTCCTAATATGAAGTGTAATATCAAGAATGCATAATTGGACGAAGTATTTGGACAGGCCGGATGCGAGCAATTTGGCCATAAGTCGGCCGCTCTTTCCAAATAAATTGGCCGAATATTGGTCCGCTTTGGGGCACCGCTTCTCTGCCAATTAACGCGCGTGCTCCATGAAGACGGCATTAAAGGAATCGAGGGGTTACGGTAGAGGGAGCATGGAAGATAATGTCGATGGATGGAAGGTTAAAAAAGGTTTGTAAAATACGTAAATCCGCAAGAAGAAGTCAGTAAAATGAAGTAGAAGAAACAGAAAAGATTATGCAATTCTTAGATGACGATAGATTTACACGGGAAAGTGAAGATGTGTCTAATATTTGTTGAAGACTTTGGGCATGTTTTTCAACTCGCGTATTGCAGAAACAACTGAAATCTCAAGGTTGAAAAAACCTTGCATTATTGAGATTTTAAAAGGCGCTGATCTTATGTTGTCTTCAAACCATAGATATCATCCTTTCGGGAAAATAATGACCTGTGAAAAAGTGATAAACAACTTGATTTTGCCGCGACACGATTCATTTTTTCTCGGCAGCGACGCGATTTACGTTTTCCCTTATTCATTATTTTCCCGACAGACTGCTACAAAAAGCAGTTTTTCAAACGCAAAATTCAGAAATTTACCGTAGCCATTTGCTGGAAACGATCGTTGAAAATCTCGGTTGTCGTTGCAAAACGCGAGATAAAATTTAGATTGCAAAAATTACATACCGCGTTATACCCTATACCACCACCACAGTAATCATTCACCAAGATTATCTAATAACCCCGACTAATCAAGCCGATCATCGTCGTATTTACCTATCTTCACTTCAACTGGTCTATTAAAACCTAATTAGCGAAACAATCGCTGACCTTGCCACTGGAAGTTGCGCAAGAGGAAGACAAAATTTGCATAAACATTGCGTTCGGATTATTGGAGTTTCAATTATGGCTACGGGGCATGACTCCGGAAATAATCCGGGTATTTAGTGAGGTAAGGTTATATTAGAGGATGGGAAATAATGGGCAAAGCTTGAGGGGACTTTCAAATAAATAGAAATAAAGTTAAGCTCGTATAGCGACGTTCAAGGGGGTTAATGCGATTTATTACCTTGAAAAAGTCGCTTTAATACGGTAGCTTTTGTCTTAGAACGTCATCCACGATCATTGCTAAAATGCTTTTTCCCGTGTAGTCCATTTTAAACAGTAATATTGCTTTTTCGGCCAATTACTGAGGAAAATTGGGCCTTTAAAAAGTTTTAAACCGTCCATTCAGCCGTTTAAAGTTTTTTCAAGACGAAAAAATTATATAAACGATAATCAAATTTAGCCACAACAATGAGCCACCAAAATATGAAGAGAATGCGACGATTAACGTCCTTTAGATCCAGTTATTCTTGTTTGGAGACTTCAAATTACAGTCAACTACACACATTTTATAGCAAGATCTATATAAAAAATATATTACTGTATAAATTCCCCAGTTTTTTGGCAACATTTTCAGGCTTTCTGTCTATGAAAAGTTGCCAGTTAGAAACACGTCGTTGGACTTGGGATTAATCTACCAAATTACCGTAATCCTTTTGCCAATTAGCGCGCAGTAAAAAGGGGAAATGCGCCGTGAGATGACAAAGACTTGGAATAATTGGGCTTTACGGCAATAACATCATTATTGAAAAATTAATTGGGATCTTATTTTTAGCGAGACTGATAGGCCATGGACGACATTAATTTTGAAACCAAATTACAGTAAATGCCTCTGCTTAACAAAGAATGTAGAACACCATTTACGATGACAAAAATTCCATTGTGGATTGTTACCGAAAGACTTCACCGTGCAAAAGTTTGATTGAACGGGTAAGAACTGCCGTCATGCCGAACAATAATTGCAATATAAATGTTTACTCATCACATAAAGTGTGAACTTTTTCTTTTATTTCACGCAGCATGAGTTCAGAATATGGCACTGCCCTCTTTTTATTCGATCAAGAGACAATAGTCCATAAATTTGTGCCCAATTAAGTCCGTTTAATCCCGAATATACGTTTCAGTTGCATACATGGTTTCTGTAACAGAGAATTTTTTATACATACGTGCCAGAAACATAGTCAGCGGTACTCTAACTTGCTGAATCTTTGACGATGTTGAAAGTCATTTTCACAATCATTAGAACAAATATAAATATTGATAATTTAGGGTTCTGTATAGTCATCGTATTTATACCACCTGACCTTTCTCTGCTTTGGAAGATGAATCCTTACGCACCGTCCGTCCTTTGTCGGGGCTTCTGTTTGCCATTTATCCTCAAAAACATAGAGCGCTGTACCTCTCTATAAATTGCGGACCTACCAACAAACTTGCGCAGTGAGCACAACGATCAAGACGCGAGGATGACTTGTTTGACAATCTTCATTGTATTTTTTGCACCATGCCTAGCTTTGTCCGGATTCAAAGATTGGGGGTATCAACTTGGTGTCAGTTTTGACGAAGATTGTCCTAGCGTGGACTTTAAATGCTTGAAAAATTGTTATCATGTTTCAACTCTTTTTCTAAAGGCAATTAAATGTCAAACTCCGTACACCAACTTCTGTGTGGATGCTATTATCGCGGGAGCAGGTGATTAAGGTTTAATTTATGACACCATCGTATTTTTTAGAACTACACGGAATGAATGTTGAGTTGTATGGCTGTCTACCGTGTAAGGACATTACAAAACCGGACGACATGGAAAACTACAGGCCCGAAATAGCAGCGCAAACATTGACAAACATCACAGCTAACTTCGGTGTATTCCAGGCAGCCTTGATTAAGGCAAGTGGAAAAGGTATGTATGTCTAGCAACTTTACGTAACAATTGTGGCGAAATTAATTTAATATGCACAGAATATTTGTTAGCACGCCTTTGGATGGACGTAACCGCAAATACCGACCACGGGTGGTTTCAGGACAAGAGCAAGAACCAGCAATGCTTGGAACGGGTAGTTGTCGCAAAGGTGGGTAGTCAAAATAGTCTGTGAATGCAACTCACAAAGGAAGTCACTTTTTTCGCATACGGACTTTGGAACGCGGGACCTAGTAGGTTTCAAACGTGAAGCGTGTGCGATCATAAAACCGATTTCCAAAAGTGTTTACGGGGCTTCTCGGTTGAGAAAATCGACCGCAAAGTTTAGCCGGAATGAGCGAATAGTCTCCTCAAAAGAAACAGCAAATTTAATTTGCAGTGGTGGCCGTGTGGTCAGCGCGCTCGCTTTTTGCCCCAGAAGACATGAGTTCGACTTCGGCCGTCTGCGGATGCATTTCTCTTGGCCATTGAAATAAATAGCAAATTGCCGTTAACATCGCATATGCTAACTATTGGCAATTTTAAAAAAAAATACGAATTGAGAAACTATATCTTCATTAACCCACCCCTGTTTTAACTTCACAATATTCATGAACATTCAGTTTTGAATTTATGTTTTAATTACTGTAAAAAAATTCAAAAGGTGCATACATTTTATGTTTACATGCTAAATCAATATTTACGAACCAAAAAAGAAAATAAACTGCGTAGAAGTCGAACCCGCCCCTTCTGGCGAAGAAAGCTAGCGCACTGACCACTCGGCCACCACTGCAGATGAAACAACCTGTTTCTTTTGAGGAGGCTTTTCGCTCATTTCGGCTAAACTTTTCGGTCGATTGTCAGTTTTCTTCGACAGAGGTGGAGATAAGGTAGTCTAATGCATTAAAAATAATATTGAAAAAACTGCGACGTAATTTAGGTTTTCGTTAACGGGGGTTTCGCACTTAATGGTATATAATTGGCCGTTGAGCAGACCGTCTTATACATATGCAGATTGGTTTTCCCCACTGTCCGAGTTAACAGCAGACTGAATACCTATAAACATGAAGTTTTTCAGGGACTGTTCACGTCTTGGCACGACCACGAAGACGTTTTTGGAACAGATTACAGCGTTAAGGACTACGATATTTGGTACCGAAATCCGCTTGGGATTGGTGACGACAGCTTTAACACTCCGCCCATGGACGACTACCGCATGTTTGGCGGTGCAAAGACTGCTGTTGTGAAGCGGTATGCGCGCGGTGTAAGCCTATGCGGCAAGTCCAAAATTAACATGGAAAGTTACATTCCGGTTGCGAAAAGTCCACCAACAAAGTGGTGGTGAGGATTCGCCTGCGCAGCTGCAGTAATACCATACGTAAATTTTGAACTGTTTTTTGAATTTCACTTTTGTGATAAAAACAGTTTTGATTCATTCATTGATCGTTGCGAACAGAAAAGATTAATTTTTGGTGAAAAAAATAATTAAAAAAGAAAATGTCAAACGCTGGTATAAAAGATTCTCCTCGTTGATAGTCGCACATTCACAATCATGAAATACTTTGTTCATTTAGCTACGATTTGTGCTATTCTTGAATGCGCTGCAAGCGCAGAAAGCGCTGAAAGGTAAGGCTTTCCTTGACGTTTGTAGAATTTGAATTTTTTTTGGATAAATTTTTTTTGGACAGACTTCTACGATAAAAGCTTTCTTAAATAACACAAATTATCCGCTGAGTTTCAGGAAATTATGCAGAGAAATGGTGCAAACTGTCAAAAAATACCCCTCAGAGGCACTGGCTAACGAAGAATTAAGGATGGCGGCGTTTGAGAAGACGCTCTTCCCTTACTTTACCGAAGCGGTAAGTTTTTTTATACAAATTTGAATAAGTTATTGAGTAATCGATAAACAACAAAGACAATGTATACGTTATAGTACCTGAGTTTCTACATATTTCAGTGCAGAATGATAACCTGTAGTGTTCCTTGCTTTGTGGGTGCCAATCAATGCTTTATAAAGCAATTCAGAGAATCAACTCGAGTTCCACTAAATGAGAACGAGTGTTGTGTTGGTTGTAAACCTTGACAATGGAAAATATTAATTACAATTAAATAAATTCAGACGTTAAAATTTTTATTATCGACAAGGTGAGACATGTTTAATACCAGCCAAAGCACCACATTTATTTAAAGTTTATTGTTTACGACGGGCTCAACAACAACATTTTGAGCAAGTGACGCTAAAAGGGTTCCATTTTGCGTCCAGATTCTTCCCTGGATGAAGGTGTTCCCATCTGAATGCCAATCGGCATTTTGCTCCAATAAAATGTATTCGTTAAGGTCAAAGCTAAAATTGTTTTTTCACGTTTAAAGATTGTTCCTTCTTTGCTCAAAAAGATAACAGAAATGAGAAAATGGCCGCTTACTCAGTCCGATGAATCCACACGTTTTGATCAAGGGATGTTTGAACTTTCATAGGGACGTTGTAGAAGAATTGTGACCCCGCAATTGAAAGGCCAAAATCTGAGATGGCCGAGAGAGCGGTGACCGCGAATTGCTCGGTTGAAGAGGCTGAAGATAGATACGTTGTGCAACACAGCATGGTATAACAGAATTAACGTAATACGCTATGGCCAAAAAAATAGAAAATTTTGAAGTTTTTAGGGGAGTTAGGGATTCAAAATTGTAGCTAAAATTTTTTGAAATTGTGCCTACTCTTATTTAGTAGTGCCAAACACCGCCGCGTGCCGACTTTTCGGGTCGACGACAGTTCTGGGTCAACACAAAATCGATCGATACGGAGCGTAGGGCAGGTGAATACACCAAAAAAGGTTGTTGGAGATGCTTACGAGGCCTAGCAAAACCGTTGGCGAAGGCTCGGCGAACGCTCGGCGAAGACTTGCAACATGTCCACTTTTTCTAATTTTTGTTACTACTAACTTTAGCCTTCTTTACACTGAGTTATTGTAACATATAAAAAGCCAAAATTTTTGGCAAAAAACAAAGATCCGTAACTTTTCTCCAGATATTATTGATGTGAGTACATGTAAAACACGTCAAAATATGTGATAAGCTATCGTAAGACCTGATCAATCATGTTATTTCCACTAACGATGCCTTCTCCTAGCCTCCCCGTGCATATAACGACGAAGCGACGCTATCCACAGAATCGTTGACCCGAAAAGTCGTAACGCCAATTATTTTGAAAAGTAGCGCTAATCAATTTGTTGTACAGAATATTTTTGAGTTTGCATGCTTTTACCTGGAGTCCCTTTCCATTTGGTCCACAGAAGTTGCTTTCTTGTTGGCTTCGGCGGGCCAATCAAATAATCCATTCCACAAACTGGCCTCAACTCAATGAATGGCACAGAAATTCTCATCGTCGCGTTAGCGAAAAGCCTTTCATCAGGCTTTGTCTTCTTATATTCATTGAGCAATTCAATACTCGTTTTGACTTCCTCCGGCTTTGGAACCTCAGGCATTGAGATTTGAGGGAGCAAAAGTTTGTTTGGAAACTGCAAGGTATAAGCAAAAACGTATCTTTGGAATTTCTAGAAACCTACGTTCCTAAAGGTCAGTTGAGCTGAATAAATCAATTTGCCATCTTGTTTGACATTTACTTGTCGAAAAACAAAATTCCGACCATCTCTAAGAGTTTGGACTTCGTATTCAGTGGGTAGATCGCCATTTCCTGGAATTCAGAGGTTTGCCTTTGAAAAATGCAAAAAAATTTAACTTTTTCAAAATTCTGGACCAAAAGCAAAGTAGCCAAATATTTTTTGAACCAAAAAGTCGTCTGCGGTTAAGAAATGGGCTATCTTACCCTTCAAAAAGTCAAAAAAAGTGTTCTTCCGTTGCCGGGAATCGAACCCGGGCCTTGCGGGTGAGAGCCGCAAATCCTAACCACTAGACCACAACGGAACGCTGTCTTTTGTCTCAAAATCATTGTTTTGAAATTCAAGCCTCGTTCGAAATTGATGTTTTATGATTTTTAATATGCCTTCTATTCAATTTTAACAAAAAAACAACTTACCTGCTCTCAAAAAATAAGAATGCAGATTACTCAAATGCCATCCTTTTGGAACCCCTTCATAGCAGCAATGAACCGCATTCGAGACCAAGCTTCCTCCAAAAATCATGTTATGCCCAACATTTGGGTCATTATGCCCTTCATTTGTCCTAAAAATTCCATTTTTGCAGTCTTGAGTATAAAATTTTTTGCTCACCGAAATTTACCTTCTCCAATTTTGACCAATCGATCCCATGGATTCTGATATTTCACGTTCGAATTCATAATATTTTTTAGGAATTTTTGCATACAATTCAAGATGATTACAAATCAAAAAAAATTGCTAGTTGAAATACTCAATACACCAGTTTCAAAAATTTTAGGAAATAAAGGAACGTTTGAATTGATCGGAACTAAACTTCAACTTTAGAGTTATAAAGTGAGACTTTGCTCAAAAACATAAATAGAGATTGTGTAGTGTCACAAAAATTCTGGCTTAGAGCAACTCTTTGAAGGTTGAGATGCCGCATTTATCATGAGGGAAATGATGATGCAATTTATTTTTGATTTGCAAAAAACTGCGAATATTTATGAAGCTAGTGCTCGAATTGTGACATTGGGAAATTTCTTAAATTTTGTGCACATGTAGCATACAGACCACATATAAATTCCTGAAAATTTCAGCCCCAACTTTTCAGCAATAGGTGACAAATTCACCGTGTTTTCTTTCGAGAGACTACGCGAATGAGGAGAGACGGCTTGACAAAAAACGGCCCAAGTCTTTTGTTCCTTCATGAAAATTTTGCCTTTTTTGTAGTAGCATTGCACTCTGTAAAAGCAATCCAGTCCAAAATTTTCAGACCGAAACTCACAAAAAGTCAATTTTTATTCAACCTCCGTTTTCTAGCTGCAAGTTTTTTATGACAATTTTAGTCCTTTCAGTACTTTATTTTTCTTTCTTTTCCACACGCTTTTTATCATCGTCCCCAACAAAACTTGAACCTGTAAACATCTCTAATCCACTCGATGTCAAAAGCTTTTCGGCCTGAACAGGCGGCTTTTTTCACGTTTCCTTCACGTTTGTCTGGTGTGACCGTTCGATTTTCAATTTACATTCCATTTCCCATTAAACTTTCTGCAAATAAAGCAGAATTCCAGGTGCAAAAAATGGATGGGAGACGAGGTTGGGTGACCTTCAGAACCATAAACAAAACAAAAATAAGGTAAAACAAGGTCAAAACAAAGTGTTCTTTGGAATACTAGTGGCAAAACCGCAAAGTGCTCTTCCATACAGACATATTCTCAATAAATCCTCGATACTACACTACTATCATTTATTATTTATCTTCACAGGAGAACAGATCAAATTGGAATACAACTACTAAATTATCAGCATAGTATAGGGTTCAATGAGTCATCTACTGCTTGGAGGCAATGTAGCTGATCAAATCGACGACACGGTTGGAGTATCCGTATTCGTTGTCGTACCAGGAGACCAGCTTCACAAAGTGAGGGTTGAGGCCGATGCAGGCTCCGGCGTCAAAGATGGAGGAGTGAGTTGAAGTGGTGAAGTCAGTGCTGACAACCTGGTCCTCGGTGTAGCCCAAGACGCCCTTCAATTTGCCCTCGGAGGCTTCCTTGACGACCTTCTTGATCTCATCCAAAGGAGCTGGCTTCTCCGTGCGGACAGTGAGGTCCACAACGGAGACATCCGGGGTTGGGACACGGAAGGCCATACCGGTCAGCTTGCCGTTCAATTCGGGGATAACCTGAAATTAAAGTAGTAAATACCATATATTATACTATCTTTGATATTCTAATATTTCATTCGATCTAAACAACCAAAAAATAATCATAAACAAATTAACCAACCTTTCCGACGGCCTTGGCGGCACCAGTTGAAGCTGGGATGATGTTCTGTCCAGCTCCACGACCATCTCTCCATTGCTTTCCAGAAGGTCCATCAACGGTCTTCTGGGTAGCGGTGACGGCGTGAACGGTGGTCATCAGACCCTCAATGATTCCAAAGTTGTCGTTGATAACCTTGGCCAATGGGGCAAGACAGTTGGTGGTGCAGGAAGCGTTACTGAAAACAGGACACAATTGCTTTCACCAAGATCATTTAAATGTCAAGTATAATGTCAGAATTCTCCTAAACGTCAGTCAAAACACGAAATAACGTTCTTACCTGATAACGTGGTCCTTGGAGGGATCATACTTGTCCTCGTTGACGCCAATGACGAACATTGGGGCATCAGCAGATGGGGCAGAGATGACAACCTTCTTGGCGCCACCCTTGATGTGAGCGGAGGCCTTTTCGGTGGTGGTGAAGACACCGGTGGATTCGACAACATAATCAGCTCCGTCCTGGCCCCATGGGATGGCGGCGGGGTCCTTGGAGTTGTGGACTGAGATGGTGTGGACGGCTTTGCCGGGGAGGCCGAGCACCAGTTTGCCATTCTCAGCCTTCACGGTTCCCTTGAATTGGCCGTGGGTGGAGTCGTACTTGAACAGGTAGACCATGTACTCCAAGTCGATGAAGGGATCGTTGACGGCGACCAGTTCGACGGTGTCCTTCTCGATGATGGCACGGGCGACCAGACGACCAATACGGCCGAATCCGTTGATTCCAACTTTGGGCTTGGACATGGTGATTGGCGAAGAGTGAGTGGCTGAGAAGACAAACTGAAACAAGAACCGGGTTACTTTCATCCTGCATTTGATGGCAATCCACGTTGTAACACGGTTGAACGCGAAATAAAACTTTCGTTCGAAACTCAACTTTTAAGACCTCAACTTCACTTGTTGGTATATTGCCAACCAAACCCTACACATGCAGCCGAAAGTAAATAAACTTTCCGATAAGCGTGATGCGGAAAATAGGAAATGAAACTGAGCCCGCCTCGACTGCAAAAACAAACAGGGCTATCAGGCGAAAATAGAAGGTTCTCTGATAGAAACGTGACCATGAAATCACTCACAGAGGCATCAAAGAGCAGCCACAAGCTACAGGGATTCACTGCAATCAGAGAATTGAACACCAAATGAGCCACATATTCAACCTGTAGTCCTACCCTTTTACTTTACTCCAACTTTCACGCCGAATTCGATTAAAATTCGGGGCAGTTTTTCGTTTTAACGATATTACACTTCAATCCTCGAAAAAGTTAGGCCACACAACCCACACACAAACTCAGACATGGAATTGTACTTGAATTGTACCTCACTCTGCACCGACACGGCTCTCCGACATCCGGGACAACAACATTATAAAAAACGTTGAACTAAAAACAACGCAAAGAAGCCAAAACAAGATGGTGCAATCCATGAGACCAAAAAGAACATGGCGAGAAATAGGCATTACTTTCGAAATAGCACAAGGGTTCTTTCGTTTGAAGAGACGTAAAAGGAGGAGCAGATTACATCATTAAAAAACCTAGCCAAATTCTTTTACTAACAACTTTTCCCAAGGATAATAAACATTATAAATCTTCTTTGCCCTTCCGAAAAAATCTTTCAACCTACAAACTTGCGTTAAAAAGCCCTCTGCGCTACAATACAAGCTAACAGTTTATACAAATTCCGAAGAAGTCATCTAGTCACCTTCAATTATATTACCCTTCCCTTCCCCATATCATCTATCCATTTTCTCGCAAATTTTAACCAACCCCGAATGTAATATTGACCTCTGTTCGTTCGGCATCCCGTCCAGCGTTCATCTTTCAAAAATGAAGGAAAAACTGGGGAAAAGACAGGACCGTTCCGGGCTGGGGACAGCGGAGGGCGGGGGCAATTCGACAGCGAGAGAAGAGGTCCAACGTCCCAAATAAACATCACAGACTACTCTAACAGAAGAGAGAAGCGAGAGGTGGAAGTGGCCCTTAGAAACTTCGAGAAGCAATGAGGCTGGCCGAAGAGAAGGGGGAACGAAAGCTCATAGGCAAACGATATTTGCCGAGGATAAAAAACTTGATGGTGTAAATTCCCCAGAACCAATGAGTATTAAAACTACTGTTCATCGAAACTTATACCATCCTTAGAAGCCATTTGAAATCGTTGGCAACCAAAACAACCCCTCAAATCATCAAAAATGATGTTATCCATGATGAGAACAGCTCAACGAGGGATCACCGTGAATTCTAATATCGTCAGACAGTTAGACGTTGTGCTGACTTCAAAAGGGAAAGCCAAATGCTGTTACGAACTCGAATGGCCACAATACGACGAGAGAAAGCATTCAGAAACCAATGACCGCTCAATATTATCCTTCATACCATGGTCCGGCCCGAGAAAAAGACAAACGAGGCACTTTGCGGAACTTTCCAACAAATAAAAAGCAGACAGCAGTTATAAAAAAATTTGTTTTCTCCTTTCTCACGTCCCCCAAAACGCCGCTAGTCCCCGAAGTTGACCTTCCTTCCAAAATATTATCAATTTTTGACTGATAACAGGATCCAACCGTAAACAAATTCAGAAAAAGTAGTGAGGAGACAACAGGGTACCCTTAACTTTTAAAACAGGCTGATAACGCTCTTTATAACCGGAACTATAGCCAAAAAGTAAAAGAATACAGATTTTTGAGCGCTTACACCTTCAAAATTGAAAACAAAATAAAGCTACAAAAAAGTACAGGTGCCCAATCGCTTTTGGAAGCATTAGTTCACTTTTTTTGACCTTTACTCCTCTTCTCACTTCAAATCAGCACGTAAAAAGTAACAAAAACATTGTTTTTGAGGAAAAAGGCCGAGATTTCTGACATCACCCAAACCAATCGCTAAAGAAATAACAACCGAAGCCAGCACTCTCCTAAAAACCACTTGTTCATCAAGCAATGTCACAATCTACTAATAAAACGTTCAGGTAGCGATAAAAATCTGTGTATACATCAAGAATCGGATGTACTTTGTATCATAATAAATTTACTGCGTTCTTTGTTCGGCAAACACCGTTATCAGTACTTGAAAAGGGGACTCTTTAGGGTACACCACCACGTGCGGGCAAAACCACAAATCGATGTGATTATGACGCCTAAAAACTGATTTCTAGTCGAAAAATCAGGAAATTTCTAGTAAAACCTGGAAAATTGATGGAAACCCGACAAAAATCGGGTACTGCAGATGTAACAAATGACATAGTCGATGCAAAGAGACTACAGATTACGCGGAAAAAGAGATGAAACGATAAATAGCCGAAGATAAACGTCCACGATATTATCCATGGTAAAAATAATTTGAAACCACACTTTCCGTGCAAAACAGAAGGTAAAACAAGACAAATCTGTCGAAATAAATCTGCCGCTGGCAGAGGAACGTGAGAAACTGACGGGTCCGCGGAAAAATGTCACCGAGAAAATATTTGGCCAAAACAATCGAGAATCTTCTATGTCCAGAAAATCGGTCATCGATAACGGAATTTTTAGGGGATTTCGATGTGCTACCAAAAAGTAACAATAAATTTGAATTCAGATATCACTCGCAGGCTGTCTGAGGTTTCGTTTGATTGTGTATTACGATCAGTAGATCTGAATTGACCTGTCAGGATGACGCATTTTTCTAAAGCTGTAGAACCCAGGACTTACTGTTGTTACAGCCATCCACCCAACCTGAAGTCCTACTATTTTAGTTTTTACATTTTCGATGACATGAGGTCTTATAGAGCCAAATCTTATTCTATGACAACACCTTGCACAAGATGACATAATCAAAAGTAATCCCCAATTTTCTATTGCACCAAACATCAGAATTCCCCTTTTTTAGCCACTTTACAATACTTTTTCGTTGTAAAAATATCAAATCTACTTCAAACACAGCCATTTTTTCCCGTCCGAAAGCCAGGCAAAATTCGATGTGCGCGTCGTGGACTTTGAGGTTTTGCACGTTCCCAACAAGAGAGAACGTCCGGGTTTTATGTGTCTGAAAGGTCGGAAGAGTGGAGAGGAACGTGTGGAAAACGTTGGCCGCAAGTAATGCGAAAAATGAGGGGTTGAGGAGGAAGTTTTGTTGTTGTAGGGACTAAGACGGAAGAGAATTGATAAATCCCTTGATTTTTGCTGTTTTTATCGGCTTTATTCGATTGGATCTGTCATTTCAGATCCTCTTCAAGTCATCTTGGTTCTTTTCAAATGGAATTATGATAGCTATTTATCCATTATAATCTTCGAAAATTATCAGATAATCAGCTACTAAAAACGTTCTTCAAATCCCTTTATTCAAGACATTTCAAAAAGGAATTAATAAATAATGCTTACTATTTCCAATACGTATACTTTATGGGTGGCACCAAAAAATGGGGGAAGAGAATACAGGCATTTACATCAAATACTCATGGATAATGTTCGGGCATAAGTGTACAACAACAAAGGACAGTCAGGGGTTTGGTTCGTTGTTTAAAAGCTCATATAGACAGTGGGGGGTTCGTTATAATAAGATGTGGGCGAGGAGGTAGGTTAGCGATATTATGCTTACATAAATTTAGATAGTTTAGGTGGTATTATGCAAAAGGTCTAAAATTTCATCCACAAAACTCTTTCCGATCTCAACCAAAATCTTCTCCTCGTCCTCCTCTCTCATTACATCAATATTTTATACTATTAACGTCATAACAACACATTTTGTTGCAAGTTTTCCGTGGAGAAAAGTGAAACAATCGACAAAAAAATTTGTAAAATTCAGAGAATTTGGGGGGTAATAAATAGACATTATAGGGCAACATCGAGTTAGTTCCAGACTTTGAGCAGTGAGTCCCAACTTCCGGTACACAGGGCAGCACCATCTTCCGTTACGCCGAGGCAAGAGACGCGGTTGTCGTGGCCGGAAAGGACACCTGGAAACGGATAACATAAGTCAAAAAAAGTTGATTTCCAACTTTCTAATAGCTTCATTCTACTTTCTAATTACTAAATATTTCTTTTTGCGGCTTTAAACTACAAAAAGATTAACAAATCACCTAAATTTCTTATGAAAACATCAAGTACAATATAACTCACCAGCCCGTTCCTGTTTCATGGAATCCCAGACATTGCAGTTGAAGTCGTCATATCCAGCGAACAATAACCGACCAGATTTCGAGAAGGCAACTGACGTAATTCCGCAGCTAATCGAGTCCATTCCATAAACTCCGACTTCAGCGTCAGCCCTGATATCAAAAAGTCGGCAAGTCGCATCATCCGAGCCGGTAGCAAAAGCGGTGCCGCTTGGAAAATGCTGAAAAACTCAAGTTGAAAATCAGCTCAAACATTTTTTACTACGATTACAGAATTGCTTTACCACAAAATAAACCTACTGCAACAGCATTGATATCTTGTGAATGCCCGGTGAAGGTCTGTTTGCATTGACCGTCTCGCAGATCCCAGAGTTTGGCATTCGCATCGCAGGCGCCAGAGATAAAGGATCGAGGGTCGTTTTGGTGTAAACTAATCGACATCACATCTCCAGTGTGGCCGTTGAAAGTGGTGATCGCTTGACCGGCTTCAATGTCCCAGAGAATACTAAACCAATCCATTTAGTGATTTTTAAAAAGTTACGTCTCGGTAAGCCAAAAAATCCTAATTTTTCCAGAATTTTTATGTTACACATGATTTCGCGTCACAGAAACAGCCGAAAATAAAGTTTATTACTTATTCTAGGTCCCAAAATTTCTCTCAGAAGTTGGCCAAATCTGTATTCTAGCCAAATTCCTTCCAATCCACCCCTAAAAATCAAGAACAACAATATAAAATACCTACCAAGTTTTGTCCCCGGAACTGGTCAAAATCCTTTGATCATCAAGGAACCGGCAACAAGACAAGAAGCCTTTGTGTCCAGGGAGTTCGCGAGACACTCTGACATTTCCTTCTCTTGTCTTCAACGAATAAACCGAACAAATATTGTCCAATCCACCACAAGCGACGAAGTTTCCGGAAGGTGAATATGCGCACGTCATGACCCATGAGGACCTTAACGGGATGGCGTGGATCTTGTTGGTGGTGTATGTGTCCCAAACAATCAATTTACCGTCTTGTGACGCAGACACAATATTCCTGAACACCAAAATTATATTGCACTAGGCGAGGAATCTTACCGTGAGTCTGTGAGCCAATGCATGGCATAGATCTTGGCCATGTGGCCTCTGAGGATGCGGCATACGGATAGGGAGAGTCTTCCGACCGGTTTCAGGCTAGCGGAATGTGCAGCAATCGAGGCGGTGGGCCCGTCTCCATTGGATTTGGACTGTCGGATGGTGTTGGGAAGAGCGGTGGATTCGTCACGGAGAGCGGTGATATCCGTGAATTCCATGTCGTTCCTGCAACGAGAGACCTTAGGCTACATTTCGAATATAAAACAACATAATATTGAATAAAAACACGGGCAGTGTGAGCGAAAATTCACGGACAATATTAAGAACTACCGCTTATTTCTCCTCATTCGCTTCAGGGCTCTCACTCTCACACTGGGTGTCTGGGGGGCACGAGTTTTTCACTGTACCCATCCTCACCTTCTCATCGGCCCCGATTACTCCAATTAAACCTCCCCATATTAAAACAAAGCGCTTAATAAGTCCTGGCACTCTTCTCCTTCCTCTACTTCTATTCATTCGGACTGATTAAAAGGGCCCCTCTCTCGCGCCAACATGAAACACACACACCACAAGCAAAAAAAAAGTCTTGGGAGAAATGGAATTGGCCCCGCTCTCCTTCACGGGCGCGCCGCTATTTTTGGAACGGCCAAAAGTCAGAACGCCAAGGGGTGTTAATAAGAGGGCCAAGGAGACGACAAGAATAAGCGCTCTTCTGGAAAAAAGTTTCCAAATAGCCGGCTGACAGGTCGCGCTACTCAATATTTCAATTTTTGATGAACTACGGCCGAAACATCAAAATTCAACATGCTTTCCCTCATCACAACCCCTAATATAATATGAGCCGAGATTGGTTAAACAACAAGAGTTCATCCGAGACGTTTGCGAGAATGTAAGCCCCTAGAACTCCTTGAGATTTGACATTTGGCCAAAATATGCGTTCTGCACTAACTCGGGATTCCTAATCCAATTAATCAATCCACTTTGTCCAATATGATTTGCGACAAAAACAACATAAGCTATAGCTTGAGCCCCAGCATGAAAAATGTCAAAAAAGTGGACTGAGCGAAGTATCCAATTACCAAATCAATCCGATAATCGGTGCCTAACAAATAAAACCCTTATGTTATCCATGGAGAAAGACAACATAAAATTAATGCAGCAGTCGTTTGAAATGGTTGTTGTAATGTCACTGCAATCCAGAAGATGCAGGGAACAGAGTCATAGAGTTGACCAAAAATGCCTCTTTCTCTAAGCCTCCAAATCTAACAAATTTCTCTGCATTCTCTTCCAAAAACAAAATCAGGTGTCAATCACAACAACTCTACCGCTCGTTCCCTTCAGCATCCTGCTGCAGAGAGGTGTTTACCCCCATTTCTAACTCCACTGATACGCTCTAAACACAAAAGGCACATAAACAACCAAAAAAACAAGCTTACCGCGACATGTCTCGAGCAATTCTCCGGCCGAACGCTGCTCCAGCCGAATAATTCAATCTGGTTTGAGGAGAAGGTGAAGGTCGTGAGCTGGTCGATGATCTGTAGGCTTGATTGCGATAGTCCAACTGCAAACAGAACGGATACTATCGGCGGAAGCGAGACGAAACGTTTATTTTGGCTTTGGACGCGTGAAAGAAAAAAATGGATCGGCGCCAGCTGCGCCCTGACTTCAAACGGAAGTGAGAACTTGAAAACAGCGCGACAGATGTTTTTGATACTTTGCTGGATGATTATGGAGGGTAAAACGGCGTCTTTCAAGCAGCGAACTCGAATTTTGAAGCAATCGAATGTTTTTTTTTAATTCGATCATCCACCAAGTGCAATATAAATAAAAACTGGCGAATTACGAAAAGAATGACTGACGGAACTTTGGAAAAAACGCCATTATAAACGTTTATCGATATCACCAGTAGTTTAACCCAATTCAAACAGACGTAAAAAGTCGAAATTCGCATTGGAGTTTCAAAAAAATGGGGGAAAATTTTATGGATGGTTTAATCCGACGGAAATTCTCATCAAAAATTCATAGCGAGAACATGACTCCAGGGCCTTTTGCAGCTTCATACTCGAAAACGCGCATAATAGACATGAAGACATCGAAGGACCTCCTGGGTGTCCAAATTTCGATTAGTAACACATTTCCCGGCTGAAATCGCAAATGTCACCATTTGGAACCGATAAAAATTTCGCTTTCAGCCGTTCCGCGGGCATGTAAGCCTATGAAAACCGCGGCCTCCTTTCATATTCGGGTCATGTGTCTAATTAGGGACGCAAATTTAAACAGTTTCTGGGAATTAGGACATGATCTGCGCCCCAAAACACCTGGGCGTTTTCCACGAACGAACTTTCCGAATGCCTATTTTTGGTGGTGGGCCTGGAACACGTGCCTTCCCCTCTCTTCCCGGCGGCGTTCCGGAGGGGAGAAGATTAAATTTTTATCGAAAAAAGTCAAATTCCAAGGTCAGGCGGGGAGAGAAACAAGTCGAGAAGAAGAGGAGAATGTTGAGGATGACATTGAATGGATGTGTCAGAAGGGAGTAGCCATGAAACAACCGAGAATCCGAGGTCTTTGCTAGAGTATAAACGAAGTTTAAATCGATCGTTAAATTGAATTTGAAACAAGACTTTAGCCACTACGTGAAAAATGATGACAAAAAATTCTACAGATTACATTTGCAATTGCAAAATGTATCTGCGGAAAAAAGTTTATTCAGATAATCCATGTGGTTTTAGGATTATTTTCCGCTATTTTAAGCCGGATTTAAGGGAATTCCAATGAGTTCCGGATGGCATTTGACAAAAAAAATATGTTATAGTTGATACTAAAGCATTTTACAAGCGTTCCCAAGTGCGACGCTCACATTTTCTTTACATTTTTCACACCTATGCTGTCTAGGTTCTGTTTCAATTCCCGTGGGCACTAGAAAAGGCTACAATGTTCAGAAGACCGTGACAATAAAATGATATCACCTGTGTTGTCAAAAGCTCTATAGCGCACTGCAGGATGAGCCAAGTCTTTCTCCTTGGATGGTCAAGTCTCCCTCTCAAATTTTTATTTTTTCAAGATTAATATAAATGTCTTTATGTTTTAATCTACATATATGGACAGGACAATAACTCAAAAAGTAAGTTAAATTATCTCTCTTTCTGACTATACAAAACTTTTTTCGATTACATATTGTTATTATTGCGCATTTAGGCATTATAGAAGGTGCATAATTTTAGGTAAATGCTGTTCGTTCTTGACATTAGACGAACAACATTCGAAAGTCTTACCCCAAAAAGAACTGCCGTCGAGCCTTCTTCGTGCCAAAATTATTTCAGCATGAAAATGATCTACAGTTTTTTTGTTGATTAGATTTTTGATATTACACTAGGTACTTTTGTCAAGTTGCAGGCAAAATCTAATGTTTTTGAAGTTTAAACCCGGAAAACTACAAAGCTGAGCCATTACTAAACCGTCACCAACATAAATATTCTTTCAAACCAGGGTTTGAGATGTCTTAGGGTGTAAGTGATCAAGTACAACCTGGATCTAAAAAAGTCTCAAATACCTCTCATACTGTTTTAAACATGTTTTAGATCGACCAGGGACCTTTGAAATATGGTTTGCGAAGTATTAATACGCATCTATGGCCGCGGATACATAAAAATTGTTCCATACCTAAAATCTGAAAAAAAATCAAAAACGACAATAAAAGGAGGAAATCACTGTTACGACGTTAAGAATGTTAAAAGAAAGTTTTATTGTCCATTTAGACCTTATATGACGTAAAACGTGACCTAATCTCGCCTTAAACTTACAAAAGTACCTAGTGTAATATCAAAAATCTAATCAACAAAAAAACTGTAGATCATTTTCATGCTGAAATAATTTTGGCACGAAGAAGGCTCGACGGCAGTTCTTTTTGGGGTAAGACTTTCGAATGTTGTTCGTCTAATGTCAAGAACGAACAGCATTTACCTAAAATTATGCACCTTCTATAATGCCTAAATGCGCAATAATAACAATATGTAATCGAAAAAAGTTTTGTATAGTCAGAAAGAGAGATAATTTAACTTACTTTTTGAGTTATTGTCCTGTCCATATATGTAGATTAAAACATAAAGACATTTATATTAATCTTGAAAAAATAAAAATTTGAGCGGGAGACTTGACCACCCAAGGAGAAAGACTTGGCTCATCCTGCAGTGTAGCGTATAGAAAGTTTTGTGAAATTATAGGTTAGCTTCGGGTAATGATAATTCTAGAGGTGTTAAAGGAAACGGACTCGAAATTATTATACCAGGCGTTATCAAGTGTAACGACAAAAGCCTTCGCTTGCTACGAATGATTCCGGAAGTCCCGGTCGAAATATTCGGCCAAAATATTTGGAGCGTTTAGCGATCATTTCAATATACTCAATATGTGTGGTATATTGAGTGTATTGAAATAATCAGAATTTTACGATATTGCTTGAATAAACAAAAGCTCAAAGACAAAGTTTTCGTAAAAATAATTGCGGTGGGATCAAGCTGAAAAGCTTGATAAGCAAAGAAGATCAAGCGACTTATGTTTAAAAGATCATAATCGTAAGCGCTTTATGATGCCATAAAGCGTAAAAAATTGATCGCCAAGGACTTATTCTTAATAAAGACAGCCTTAAGAGTCCCTTGAAAGCAGCGTATGCCAAACCTTGCCCTTATTTTCTTCGAAAATTCTCCGCTAACGTTCCAACCCAACGTTCCCATGCCAAGACTTCATTTCATTTCACGACAAATTGAGATAAAACATGTCAGCTCACAAATTCCGACGTACTCGACGAAAAAGGAAAATAATAAAAAAAGGAACGCGCGCGAGGCGAAAAAGCTGCCCTCACTAATTCCCTCGCCCTCTCCGGAATGCGAAACGTCTTTCCTTCCAACTTAATGACACTTGTGGAGCCTTGGCACATTCGACGTTTCTAATCTCCGGTCAAGAGTTTTCTGACAATGTTTACAGCCCGACGACGTGTTCGGGCCTTGTAAAGGCGTGGTGTTTTGAAAGAGTTTCAACGTCTAACGAGTCACAAGGGCGGCTGCTCAAAAATGGTGGTGGTTAATGACTGCGAATGGTCGTATGTTTGGTGGGAGGAATTGTAGGATTTCGTTGGGACAATTGGAAAAGATTACTGTAGTAATAATGTCACTGGAACGGAAGTTAATTTCGGATACAATTTAAAACGGATAAAGGATTGAAGCTTCGAAAAAAAGGCGTTATCAAAAAAAATGCTGAACTTTCTGAAAGCTGTCGTTCATAGGCGAGGTCTTTGGTGAGAAAAATCATCAGAAAATTTTGATACATCTGTATGTTCTACTCTATGCTATTGTATTTCAAATTGAAATACTCAAAAGGATTCTGAGAACCACCGACGCACAATTGATGAAACTACTTTTGTAGAATTATGTTACGCATCTACAGCTATGACAATATAGGACTCGAGAGTACAATTTTTATAAAATTTAGTAAGGTTATTATCTATGCACTTAACCAGTGGACACTTAAATTTAATTGAGCCTTAATTTGCACTCCCTTTCTTCTGAGACAATAAAAATATAGGAAAGTAAAACCACCACTTTTTGCAAAATTATAGAGCATCCACAGCCTACAGTTACGTAGAGATTTCTACATTCTTAGACTTTTACAGCCTCTAATGGCATCATTTGCATTTGACGTGTCGTTTATTTCATAATTAACGCCGCCATTAAAGTCCCGAGACTTTTATAAAAAGCTCCGCTTTCCGGAAGTTGTGAAAGGCACCGCGAAAAATGCGAAAAATAAATGGAATAAACAAGAATGTGACATTTACGAAGACGTACGAGAAACAAAACGACCCGATCTGTTTATTGTTGCCGCAGGGGAATTGAGTGGCGTTTTGAGGAGAGTACCTTTTAGGACGTTGAATGGGCAAGTTGTAAAGACCGGAGGGGATATCGCGCTTTCGTATTTATAAAGAATTTTGGGGTATCACGAGTTTTTAGCCCAAAAATTTTTACCAACTGAAGAAAAGTGATGCCAAATTTTTGTTTAACAATGCGTATAAACGCGGAACAAACGTGGGTAAGATCTCACCTCAGAGCGTGGCCGAAGACCTTGAGGATGCAGCGATTGGGATTGTCGAGACGGTGGACGATGAAGGTCGACGGAAAAGGACGTCTAAACTTGTATGATATAGTGGGGTACGTGATCCAGTGGCAAAAAAGGTACCATTTTGCATCCGGCAAGTATCAAAAATGTGGCAAAATGCTTCTCTATCCAAGTGAAAAAGCTTCGTTTTGAAAGGCGTTTTTCCTTACGAAAAGATTTGAAATCTGAGATTTTTCACTTAAAGAGGGAGATATTTTGCCACATTTTTTGATGCTTCCTGGATACAAAATGGTACGTTTTTTACCACTGTATCAGGTCCCCCACTGTGTCTTGCATAACATGCTACGGCTTAAGTAGTCAAATATATGTCGACCTACAGTTTGGTCTTCTACGTATCCTCCAATGAAAGTGCTCTCCGAGTTTCTTGAGATTGGACGATTATCAACTCCAATTTCTGTAGCAGTTTGTCGAAAGTAGCCGTAAAAATCATCGGGAGTGTTCGCCGCCTTATTCGGGCTGAAGCTGCCGCAACTGCCAGGATACCGGCTCATGGCTGAAAATCAATATTCAATGGAAGGTTCCCTGTATTTTTAAAAGTGAGAATAAAAATCTGTTCTGACTGAATTTGAGTGTAAATTGGCCTGGACACGTCAGCCTTGACTAAGCCGTCTTTTACGTCAATCGAAAGGGAAATCAGTGCCCAAAGGACTCAAATACAGTGCAAAGAAGGCGTAGATAACGTAAATTCGTCAGGCTTTTGGTATTGGAAAGTCAAAATCAAGCCCTAAAGCCGACGCTTGCACCTCTTCTTTCCGATCGTTAAATTATTTTTTATTTTTTCTGAAAATTTAATTTCCAAATCATTTATGCAAACATTGACGTCGCAAAACCGTGCAGCCGTCTATTTGAGAGTAAAAATGAGTAATAATTCTGTTTGCTAATAGTTTTTCTGTCAGAGTCAACATAGGCCAGGTATAGTTATATTTTTGTAAGACGGGCAACAAGAAGCGAACGGGCAGTTGCAATTTGCTGGAAGGGTCTCCAACTTTTTCAACGTGTATGCATTCTGAAGTGCGCAAGGTGCACATCTTAATCTCAAGAAAATCAAAAAAGTGTTCTTCCGTTGCCGGGAATCGAACCCGGGCCTTGCGGGTGAGAGCCGCAAATCCTAACCACTAGACCACAACGGAACATGGTGTAAAAGTTTCCAAAATTCCATATGGGGGGGGGCGGGTCAGGTAAGGTCAAAATACTAATGTTAAGGCGTCTAAAAATTGATTGATTTTTCGGTTACACTTCACAAAATAAAAATGAAACAGTGACCCCCAGGTAGCTTCTCTTCCATTTTGTTTTTCAATCAACTGTAGCGTGTTACAGCCATCTTAAAAAAATGCCGATGACATACCGATCCATGAAATATTAGGTTGGACGGAAAGTTCGTACGATTTGCTACCCAACTTTGAAATTAATTTTTTTTGCGCCACGACCGACTGTCTACCGTAGATACCTAGTATATACAAGAGTACAGCGTGCAGATTTATGTGATATGTGCCAGTCGTTAGTTCGGCCAAAACGAACATAATTATAAGAGGTTCTCCGCTTTGGGGTAGTTTCGGGTGGGGTGCGGAATGCAAGCTCTAGTTTCCAAACCGTTTTTGCTGAAGCTCTGAAACTTTTTAAGCTATTTCTAGTGGTCCATCCAACTACGTTAACCACAGTTAAAACTCTTAAAAAAGTCTGTGGGATAAAATAATAGCTATTGTTTCAACCAAATCTTCAAAAAACGCCCCGCTTGAAAAAGTTTTTTTATTACTCCACGCATTTCTGATGGTCCGTCCGTATAACAGGGTTCAGTGAGGCACACGGGTAGCCCTTTACGTGCTACATGAGTAACCCGGATCATAGACGCTTCGGATTTGGCGTAAAGAGGCAAAATTGCCAAAAATATATAGCTCTAGAGAAACGCGTGTGATTTGCTGACAATTAACAATGGTTACCCATTGCTTCATAAAGTAGTAGAACGATACAGAGGCTCCATTTTCCACCCTAGAAAAGGAGGATTAGAAAACTGCTTTGAGCTGTTTTTTGAATTTTACGTATTGCTCCGATAGTTTACAAGCGAGTTTTTGAAAAATAAATCATTGAGTTCTGTCATGTTACGCAGTAAAACAATTGGCTAAGGACGGGTACCTAAGTGTAAGGCAGTGTCTTTAGTTTTGACATATCATAGTTAGACCCACAGGAATGCATCGGCAAGCGACTGTTGTAAATCATATTCAAACTTGGTGGGTCTTGCTAAAGCCAAGTTTTCTGGCTGTGTTTTGATTTAATCCCCGACTACTTCACGCATATTAAGAGCATCAAAAGGAAGCTTTTTAGCAGTGCTAAAGCAGTTTCTTATTATGCCTTGTTAAACAAACCAGCCAAAGGATCTCTACTTGTAGACCAAAGATGGGTAAATGTCTAAATTAAGTTTTCTCTTCGTACATGCTTAAGATGGCTGAGGGTTGTAGTGCCAGATAGAGATGCCTGTCCCCTACCAATACCATATATTTGTGTTTGTCTTTTTCTATCAGCGCAAGAAAAAATAGAAGCAGTAAAAAATCGTACGAACTTTCCGTCCAACCTAATATTTCAGTTTATTGCTCATCAAAAAGTAATCAGACCCCATACGTATAACACAATCCCTCGAAATAAGAATATGCTTGCATAATTTTCCAAAATATCATCAAAAATTTTCGCCGTTTACAACAAATCCCTCTCTTCCTTGTGGAATTTGCTCTCCAGGTTCAAGGTTCCCAACTTGAACCATTTCTTTGGCTCAGTTCCGCTGAAGATGTATTGGCTGGGGATGGCGAGCTTGACCTTGCGTTGACCGGGCTTGATTCCATCGTCGCAGTCGTGGTAGAACTTCAGTCTGGGGTCGATGTTGGTCAGTTCGCGGGTCGAGCCGTGAATCTTGAAGTAGCCGTTGCTGTCGGTGCGGGCTTCGGCCAACTTGTCGTCTGGGTCGGGGCCTAAAACATGTTTGTTTTAAGGTTGTACTGTGGTCCTGTTATTCGGCCTAGAACAAAAAATGCCACACGCAATTTCAGAAATATCCAGGTCATTTCTAAGGCTAGTGTCAGCTTCTTTTTTCTTGTAACTTCTCTGCAATATCAAGAAAATCTACCGTCATCCTCATCCCAAAGCGCAACACGAACATTGGTGGCGGGTTTGTCACCGCACAAGAGGGTACCCTCAGCTCCAACGGCTTGCTGGCGGAGGGCGCAGCTAACGCCGAACAAGGCGACAATGATCACTAGTGATCTCATTCTAAAAATTAGACAATTTAGTCACACTCATCAAAGGCCAATATTGGCAAAATCACGGCACAATCAAAGTAATACCGTGGGCTTTGTAAGTTCAACTTGCTTACAAGAAACTTTGCTTAGAACAAGAACTAACTCACTAGGGGCCTTCTTAAGACCTCCCTTAAAAATGTTTGCCTAAATCTAACGCCATGACCCAAGGCTCATTTAACGACCTCACCGTGGCCCAAAACTCCTCCCCGTCTCAAAATAAACAGGATTTGCAACTAATCAGACATCGATCCCAATTTTATCACCGATTACTGATAAGAAACGAACAAACAACTTCCACGATCAATGACCGCCCAACAGCCGCCGTCGGAAATGGCCTTGAAGATCGTCTTTATACCCTTATCGAAGAGACCTGATTAATCTTCGTGTTTTCGATTGAAATCAATTTGAGTCAGTTTTTCTTGATCTGATTCATGTGTTTTTGGGCCTTATCTTTTGCGGAAATAACAATGGCATCATGCTTGATTGGAAGAATCGGAAGCGAAGGATGGGAACGATTGAACTTTGAGATGATAGAGGAATAGAGGAAGTGGTCAAGGCTCAAATCTTGAAGAAATCTGAGGCAAGGCCCATAGCTCTATCTCCAAGCAAGATTGGATATATCCATAGTATTGCAATCGAGAGTTAGATCATTACATCACAAGTTTAGTAAAAGTTTTTAAAAATGATGTCGGCTACAAAATACAGTGGTGTCCGTTTGGTGCCTAACAAACTATCGGATTCAATACATAGATGTAATTTGTTGTTATTACACTCCAATATTTTTGGAAGAATGTAAAAAGAAGTTGATTGACAGAGGACAGCGAATTTTTGCCCACCTCCTCTGATCTTCTTCACATAAAACTTTGTTCTGAGGACGACTATTTGGCCTCATATTTCGATTACAGAAACAATTTATCATCTTATTCTACAATGAATATTTTATTTAGGTTAAGCGGTTTTCATGTCACATATCCAATATCTTATTCTCCATCAGCTGGAAACTTGATTCCCATTTTGGCTCTGACTTCATCAACAACTTGTTGAACGTTTATGCTCAAGTCAAAGCTCACAATCTCACTTTGAGTCTTCTTTCTGACAATCGTATCATAAATGTGATCTATTTCATATCTTAGTCCGGAGCTGTTCGGATAATTGAATTTTCTGTCATCATTCAAAGGAAATTCGTAGTTTTGACTGCCTTCGCCAGTAATCGTGGTGAGTAAAGTTGGGCACCAGAAGGGTTGGTCAATCTGAAATATTGCCGTCTCATGTTTAGTTGTTGAAGGTTTATCCGTTACAAAAAATCGGGTCATACACTTCCCAGGCATACAGATATAACAAAAATCATGTCAAACGCATTCAAAATAAAGCAGAATGTATCTCCTTGCATCCCTTAAACGACTGATTAAACAGTGGCGACCTGATTCAGTTGCAAAAAGGCGTGCCATTTTGCATCTGGGAAGTATCATAAATGTGGCAAAATGCTTCCCTCTCCAAGTGAAAAAACTTCGTTTTGAAGGACGCGCCCTTTTTCCTCACAAAAACAGCAAGTTTTATTTTACATCCGGGAAGTATCAAAAATGTCGCAAAATGCTTCTCTCTCTTTTGAAGCGCGCGCCCTTTTCCTCACAAAAACAGCGGAGCGCTTTTGAAATCGGAGATTTTTCACTTGGAGAGGGAAGCATTTTGCCACATTTTTGAAACTTCCCGGATGTAAAATGATACTTTTTTTGCCACTGGATCAGGTCCCCCACTGTACCTGTTTCTTCTGCCCTAGAGAAACAACCACAATCGGTCAGAGAAGGGATGCAAAAGGATCCATTTTTTCTTCATTTTTAATGCGTTTATCATGGTTTTGTCATATCTTTATGTCCGGGGACAAACTTTACCTCAATAACTCCTCGTTCGCAATGCACTTTGAGCTTGTTTTCCAACGACTGAGTTTCGTCAAAAGTCAACACGGCTTGTTTTCCCTCGCCGAAGTTCAAGGTCAATTTCGTCCGCTTATCACCACCTGAACAGCCGCGATTAGAGATAAAACTTGTTGACAAGGCCGTAAGAAGTAATAAAAGTGAGGTTGTAAATAAAAAATAAGACAATTTCGGGTCTAAATTTGTAATCAATATGACATTCAGCTGTGTTGAAGAGCATTTCAGAACGATTGTATTCGATAGTCATGCGTTTTGTAGTGATTAAAAGATAGCGAAGGGGTGAAATAGAAAGCAAAGAATCATTTGTTACGTCCCAGACATTAGGAAAAAAAATAATTAAAAAGAATATTTCCAATAAAAAACTATGACATTTGAGCCGATATAAAAAAAAAGATGTCTAAATCGTAGGATTCAACTTTTAAAAGCCAAAAACACCTCTAACCTTTTTCATTGACCGCCCAGTCCACCTTGAAAACTTCGCCTTTTGTTTTGTAAACAAAATGCGCGACCATAATCGTATAGCATCCCAGAGTAGTCAACATAGTCTCTCCTCGCTCCAAATTGACAAAATCGGATGGCTAAGTTTACAAGTTTATCCGTATTTTCAATTTACGACTTGGCTTACCAACGTATACCCAAAGCTGGCTTCAACTTTATAGGCTTTTCCATATTCTTTTTTAGCCAAAATGCTGTCCAATTTTCGATAAGCCGGAAAATGGAGGCTCCAGTAGCCTTCGACCAGTAATTTTCCAGCAGACTTTGCAGTTTCAATCATGTTCTGGGTCTGCTTTAAATTTAGTCCAAGCGGTTTTTCGCACAAGACATTTTTCCCAGCCTTCAAGGCTTTGATCACATGATCATGATGGAGGTAATTCCTAAGGCCTATGTAAATTACATCGACATTCTTGTCAGCCAGCACGGATTCATAGTCCCCATAAACTTTAGCATCAAGACTATGGGATTTATAGAATTCTTCAGCTCGTTGCAGACTCGAGGCGCCAATCGCAACAACCTGTATGTAATATATAATAAACAGTTCATATTAAATTGATCTTCGATGCATAAATTGATTTTTTACCTTATGCTTGCGCTCCGTCTTATCCAACGCCATAACAAAGTCATTGCAGATATTCCCACAGCCCAAAATTCCCCATTTCAAGGTTGTTTCAGCCATTGTTGCCGTTTTCAAAACAATCAAGAGAACGGGGAAACATGAGCAATATCAGAAAAGCCTTATCAAAGTATGCAGGTTTCACAGACTCCAAATTTGCATTGATTATCGACAAAATGGAACAATAAATTCATCTAATTGTCATCAAAACTATGTGTTTATTTTGTGGTCAGCGTGCGAGTGAAATGTTTTGGGCATTAAACCAAACCCTGTACTGAAGTGTAGTTCGACTTTTTTTAGTCACGTGACACTATGGGTAGGCCAAAACTGAATTTTTTTATGAAATGACTAACGATGGCTATCTGTAATACAGGGGGGGCTGATCCAGTGGCAAAAAACGTACCATTCTGCATCCAGGAACTATCAAAAAATGTGGCAAAATGCTTCTCTCGCCAAGTGAAAAAACTCACAATCAGATTTTAAAAGCGCGCCCGCTCTTTTTGTGAGGAAAAATGGCGCGCCCTTCAAAACTAAGTTCCTTCACTTGGAGAGTGAATCATTTTGCCGCATTTTTGATACTTCCCGGATGCAAAATGGTACGATTTTTGCCACTGGATCAGGTCCCACACTGTACCAAAATTCTGCTTTATTTAGCTTCAACAAGCCAATTGTTTCAATATCTCAATCATCAACTGGAAACTTAATTCCCATTCTGGCTCTGACTTCGTCAACGACTTTCTGAACATTCAAACTTAAGTCGAAGCTTACAACTTCACTCTGAATCTTCTTTCCGATAATGTTATCATAAATATGATCGATTTCGTATCGTAGGCCAGAGCCATTCGGATAGATGAATGTTCTGTCATCGTTCAAAGGAAATTCGTGGTCTTCACTGCCTTGGCTAGTAATTTTTGTGAGCCTGGTCGGACACCAGAAGGGTTGGTCAACCTAAAACATGCTCTATTCATCCATTCTATCTGATCGAATGAGAGCTGTCCAGACAGTTTTGAAATTTTACCTCAATAATCCCTCTTTCGCAATGCACTTTCACCTTGTTTTCCAACGACTGAGTATCGTCAAAAGTCAACACGGCTTGTTTGTCCTCGCCGAAGTTCAACGTCAACTTCGTAGGCTTATCACCACCTGAATAACCGCGATTAGTAATAAAACTTGTTGACGAGGCCGTAGGAAGTAATACAAGTAAGGCTTGAAGGTTCGGGGTTCTATAACCAATGCGCCAAATTTGATTGTTGTCGAGACCAGAGATTGCCACGACTCCGGCTCTGAGCGGCTCCGGCTCCGAGCCGGGAGCCAGAGCCGGAGCCGGAAATTTTGGGTGCGGCTCCGGCTCCCGAGCCCAAAGTCGGAGCCAGGCATCTCAGCGTTCAGAAAAGTAAAAATTTCATAAACCAAATTGCTTGAAAAATACTGGAAAGGATGTGTTGCATACCAATTGGCTGCAAAAACGTTGGGTGTATGATATCCGGCACTAATAACTTTTATTTTTGGAAAGATATTTAAAAAATTTTTTTGCACGGGAGCCGGGATTCGGAACCTTTTTAATTTTTTTATGGAAGCCGGAGCCGGAGCTGCAAATTTGGCCTCGGCTCCGGCTCTGGGAGCTAAGAGCCGGAGCTGGAGCCGAAATTTTGACCGTGGCAATCTCTGGTCGAGACACACCTCTTTGGCACTTGCCACAAAAATACAAATCAATGTTTTGAGACAGTACAGTGACGGAAATTATTCAGTGGCAAAAAACGTACCATTTTGCATCCGGGAAGTATCAAAAAATGTAGCAAAATGCCTCCCTCTCCGACTAAAAACAAATCCGTTTCGAAGGGCGCGCCTTTTCCCTCACGAAAAGAGCGGGCGCGCTTTTGAAATCGGAATTTTTTCACTTGGAGAGGGAGATATTTTGCCACTTTTTTTAAACTTCCTGGATGCAAAATGGTACGTTGTTTGCCACTGGATCCGGTCCGCCACTGTATGTTTTGCCCCGAAGGAAAATTCTCGCGTTTCCCGGCGTAAGAACAGCCTCATTTGACGTAACGTTTTGGCGAATTGGAAGTGAATAAAATGTAAAACAATGCAGACGGACATTTTTCAAAAAATATAACTAAATTTAACTCAAAAAATCAAGTTAAAAAAGCCGAAAACAGATGGAATTACCTTTTTCATCCACAACCCAGTCCACATCCAAAACTTTGCCTTCTGTTTTGTAAACAAAATGAGCAACCATAACTGTATAGCATCCAAGAGTATTTAATAAAGTTGCTCCTTGCTCCAGATTATTAACAAAGTGGTCAGGCTAAATTTACAAAAAACCTCTAGAAATTTTTGTTTTCGCCTACCAAAATATATCCAAAACTGACTTCAACTTTATGGGCGTTTCCATATTCCTTTTTATCCAAGATTTTCTCCAATTGTCTGTATACCGGAAAATGGAGACTCCAATAGCCTTCGACCAGTAATTTTCCCACAGACTTTGCAGTTTCAGTCATATTCTTGGTCTGTTTTAAATTTAGTCCAAGTGGTGTTTCGCACAAGACATTTTTTCCGGCCTTCAAGGCTTTGATTACATAATCATGATGTTGATACTGCCTCAGTCCAATGTAAATCACATCGACATTCTTGTCAGCCAGCACGGATTCATAGTCTCCATAAACTTTAGCGTCGAGACAATTTTTTTTCGCGAATTCTTCAGCCCGTTGCAGACTCGAAGCGCCAATTGCAAAAACCTACAGTGGATCTTCGTGAACTGATTTTTTACCTTATGATTATGCTGCGTCTTGCCCAACGCTTGACAAAAGTCATTGCACATGTTTCCACTGCCCAAAATTCCCCATTTTAAAGTTGTCTCAGCCATTATTGTGGTTGTCGGAACACAAAATAAAGAATCGATAAGACGCGGGGAGCGTAAGCAATAAGCCCTATCAAATTATGAAAGGTTTAAAGACTCCAAAGGTAAATAACGTGGGGTCGTCTGTTTTCCGACCAAAGGGTTCATCTGTCAGGGAATTGATTCCATTTTCTTAGCCTGCCCCGCCCAGGGAATTATAATGACCGCCAGTAACGAATCGGCCGAAGCCCTAATTCAGGGCTCTTAGCGCATGCTTTTGATATCTTCTGACAATGACACTTTAATCCCGCTAAAGAAAGCAATTATCACTTACAGTCTATCAAAAAAGTCCTTATTTCTACTCTTTATCATAAGGATTCACTGCATTTTTGGCATTACAAGAATTCTGAAGAGCTCTGAACACCAAAAACTTGCTCGTTCAATAATCGCAAGTCCTATTTTTATATGTTCAAAGACTTCTTGAAGACTCTGGATAGTTGCAAACAACTTTATACACCATTGCACACTTAGGGCGTTAACCAACGTTAAAAATTTCAAAAACTGCAAAAATGCCACGAACCGGGATCGAACCGGTGACCTTTAGATCTTCAGTCTAACGCTCTCCCAACTGAGCTATCATGGCACACGGGTTCCTCTCTTCTCGTTCCACACAGCCTTTGGGTGGAAAGGCGAGAGTGAGTGGGGGCCACGCTTTTTTCGAAGTCTCTCTCGCCAGCCGATGAAAAGGACAAACAGAAAGCCGAGGACTGTGAGCCGCCATAGCTCAGTCGGTTAGAGCGTGGGTCTAATAAGCCCAAGGTCGCAGGTTCGACCCCTGCTGGCGGCAAATTGATTTTTTTTTGCCTTTGAAAAATGTAAATTTACTTCTTTAAAAAGCTGAAAAAAACAGCTATGTATCTACACTGTTAATTGGAAAGCATAACTTTTAAAAATTTCTTTTAAAACACCAGTAAAACCTCCTTTTTGATAAATATTTTATTTCATCTGTACAAAAAATTGATATGTAGCGTTAATTCCGGTTTAAATAATACCTTCTATCATCTGGGGCCTTTCTTTCGTCCGAATATATGTATCTCACAACAATGTATTCGCGGAAATACACGAAGAAACAGACATAATTGGCAAACATTAGCATGACCAAGGTGCAAATATGTTGCCAATCAGTAGCCATGACCAAGTTATGGAATTGAATGGCAATCAGCATTCCTTGGACATAACAGGAATATTTGAAAAGTGATGTGGGATTGTTGAAAAATTTCTGCAAAATTAAAAAAATTTTGATTTTTTTAATCAAAGATTGTTTTTTTTATCTCATTTTGACCATTTTTAGCTATTCAACTTACATAAAACAAGCTATGCTTCATATTTCCTGGTGTGGCTGCGACTTCATACCAATGTCGATGACATTTCGCCGTATAAACAATATTATCTGAACCCACCACTTTGGCCCCATCACAAGCGACATCATCTCCAACAACAGCGGCAACCGGAGCTTGTCGTGTCTCCGGGTTCGTGTAATACCCCAGGTGGAGGGCTGTTTGATATGCTTGATGGAGAAGTTGAATCGGAAGCTGATATAGGGCGTAGATAAAGAAAGTCGTGAAAAAGACGTTCACAAACATAAATTCGTACCAGACGGTCTCACGGTAGAAATGCTGGCTCAAACCGGAGAGAGTTTTACTCTAAAAAACGAAAATTCTTGAGTCTGATAAAAGCGACTCACCGGAACAAAGATGATTGGCAAGTAAATCGAGTAGTAAGCCGTATAAAATGCGATAAGCAGACAGTTAAGCACTCGACATTTGATAATCTCGTGCAACTTCTCGGCCATTGCAGCATGCGGTGAGCATTTATTTGCTGAAACATCAATATTCCATATTACTTCACATACCACACTCATGCTGGAGATCTAGCCCATAGTCTATCGAAGTTGGACTTCGAATACCCATTAGACCTTGATAAGTAATTCCGTTATAGATACTCCAAGGAGAAAACGAGACTTTTCTGAGGTCTTTTCGAATAAACCACAGTTCATATACACCGTGAAGGAGAAGTCTAAAAACAAAAAACAATAAGTCATAAAAGAGACTTACGGAGTAATAAGCAGCACCGCAGATGTATAACCAAACTCTCTCGTTATCCTGGTCATACTAAACATAAAACTGGCCGTGATCATTGTGCATAATGGCGATTTGATAAATGCATACTCCACGATACTCCAAAAGACAGAATCACATAAAGGATTGAGAGAATCAAACTTCTTGGTGATCTGGAAAAAATAACACACAAGTTAGACCATTTAGCCAGTGTTACCTAAACTTCGAAGCAAGGAAATTAACATTTACCGTTTGCCAGAAACATTTTGTTACTCGAATTCCCAAAAGAAGTCCAATGCACGACAAAACGTATGGATTGATCAAGTATGTCTTCTAAACCAACAAATTAGACTTATACTGCTTGCTACAGACACTTACAAAAACTCCATGCCAATGAGATTTTGGAAGCCACCACAAGGTCTTGTATAAGTTAAGATATTGAATAAATAATGCAAAGATAGAGTAAAGAAAGAGCGTGCATTCCGAGAAAAGAGCTGTCCTGGGCTGTGGCATCACTGGCCATGATCTATGTCCGAGTCTAAAAAATCGGTTTTCATTCTACGCCAAAAATTTACATTATTCATGACTCATAAGCCCAAAAAACCGACAACAAGCTTTAAAAATCAAGCTAAACTTTGATGCTAAATAAATCAAGCCAAATAAACTTACGGTTCAACATCTGGAACCTGTTTCGCGGACGCTTTGCGCGGTTTTATAATATTATCCAGGAATTTTGACCTCATTCGTCCGTCATGTATAATAAGAGCTACGTCTTCTAAGGGTGATCGTCAGTTAGCGACGCATGGAAGGAAGGATTCATCGAGTCGCGCAAAAGCCTTTCTCGCCACCTCTTCCAAAAAAATTGTTTTATTTCTTTCTTGGGTCAAGTCACGCGTTTTCGGGACGACTCTTTCTTTGGGTCAAATCTCTCTTTTTGCGTCAACTGTTTCTTTTCTCAAAAAACGTGGAAAAAAGAAATGTAAATCGTATTTCAGAAGTTTTTGCAATGCTATGTGTACAAATTTAAATGTGGCAAGTAATTTGACCAATATTTATCCAGGTTATTGATAACAACAAAGCAATTTATGGCAAATGCTAACCAGTTTTAAAAGTTTACCGTTACTCCGAAAATAAGACCCATAACAGACAAAAAGATCGACGATTCCGTGACAAGCGAGCTGTTGCACCGCTGATTTCCACAAATGCATTGAGTTCCGCTGAATTCTTGGTTTATTGACATTCCCAGCAGAGATGAGTTGATTGGTCGGTTGAAATTGTAGCAGTAGTCGACTTGGAGAGGATTGATGGCAGTGCATCCACGATGCTCAAAACGACGTCCTGAAGCGATTAGGAAGGTTTTTTATATCAGAATTAAAATTTATGCTTTTTGCACTTTTGACCCCCCTAGCATAAAAAATACCATCAACCAAAAGATAGCCACCGCTTACCGTTTAGTTTGCCGATGGCTTTCACACAATATGGGCCTGTACAAGTTTGTTTTGAGTCGTGTTCACAAGAACCTTCCCCGTCAAAGTGAGTGCATTCGAGGCATTGAACTCCCCCTAAAATCTTTTGTTGTTCGTCTTGAAAACATCAAACTTTTAATGTTGTAAGACGACATACCTGACTTTAATTTGCAATTAGTATCGGTTGCTCCCCATTCGGTTTCCGCGAATGATGCGGAGTTGGCCAAAGCCCGCTCGCTGTTACATTTTGCTGTTCCAGTGCAAACATTGATCCCAACAAATGGGTTTGTGATTAGTCTTCCATTTGGTGCCACGCTGGCGGTCCCTGTGTACCGGGCATACTCGCACATTTTTCCAGTAGCACTTGCTGGGACATTAGAACCGGCGATGAAATCTTCTGGACATCCTCTGATTACCCCATATGTTCCTTCTAAATTTTTGTGCTCTTAATTATACTAGTTAAGTTGCTTTCATTAGTGAACTCCACTTCAGCTCGGTTATGCACAATTTTGAAAGTTTATAAGTCGCTTACGTATAACAAAAGCCGCAGCGTAACAAGTCGACCCACCGCATTGCACTTCAAAGGCCTCTCCCAAGCTGTTGGCACAAGCATCCGTATAAGTCATATTTGGCGGCTGTACCGGGAACCCAGTGGCCAACCAGTTGTCCTTGAAGATCCCTTGGGCACATCGGTGACAGATATCGCAACTCGCTTTCGTTATCATCAATACAAGAAGGGAGAGCGGCGATTTCATCCCGATGTTTGGCGAGACGCAAATATGGACTGGTCTCGCCTTCTTCCTTCGCCTCGGGCCATGTGTGGAGGAGTTAATCCGGGCGACGATCGCTGAATCATCTGGCTGAGGATATGATGCACAAGAGTTCAGTGATTGGGACATGACGCATTGGTTGAGTACACTTTCGAATTTTGGTACCGTTTGACGTCAGTTGGGGCATGCGAAGCGGATCTATGATTATTTTCTGAGTTTTTGCAAGCGAGGTGAGTATGTCTTACGTCCAATTTCTTGTAGGAGGAACTGTGATGGGATAGGTACAATGAGGACAATTTTGAAAAATGAAAGGAGCTTTCAGGAGATCGCCAAGAATGTCATGATTTCTGTTTATTGGCCCTTATTGAAGACATTTTGCTGCATCCAACGACTCTGCTATTTATTTACTTTGGACCATGCGATTTTACGCCTTGTTTCGTAATCCTATTCTATTTTTGATTGCATTGTTTATATAATCGGTTAACCTTTGTGAGTCACAAAAACGAGGGTTGTTAATCTCTCCTAAAGTGTCAATCATCCACCCGGATGTTTTTTGCTTTTCCATTTCCAAAAATTGGTTCCAGAATTACAAGTCATCCAATTTTATTTTCAAGGTTCCGGAATAATTGTTACAGTCTGCTCCGATTTTGCAAAATGAAGAGATAATTATGTTTTTAATCGAATGATATCAAGTTTTAACAGACTTTGGTCTGCAATACCACCCAGTAACTAAATAATCACTCTGCAAATCTCCCGATTTGAAGTTTTTTGTATTGTCTACATTTAAACCCATGGTTATTTGAACATAAACGCATGGGAACACTTAGCTGCGTGTTTGTTCACTGAACAATTTACCGTAGCGATTTGTCGAATCCGCCCCTTAGCCTTCGATCCATTTCAAATCGTCTGACATTGGCTTTTATGACGGCTTTATTAGTCGCTTTTGCCCTCGGATTGATCCCCGCTTCTATTCAAACTGTTTTTTTTGTTATCCATGAGAGGGCTTGAGGCTTTATAAAACATTGCGCAATCCCGAATCAAGCCCGCTTAAAAGTCAGTGGGGGCGAACTTGGTCGCTGTTGTATTGTATCCGGTAAAATGACGGCTAAATTTTTTATAATTTTTGGTGTAGTGGCAACTTTTTATGGTAAGTGTGGCTGTGGGTTCGCAGGATTTGGTTTAAAGAACGAACAGTTGATATAACAACCGTTGGCCTGTTGTTTTTGGTTAAAAAAGGCGTCTTTTACAAAAAATTAAGGAGTAATTAAGATATAATACTTGCATATTTTATAATACGGAGATGCGCTGAAAAGATTTTTTTTAAACCCTTGCGACTTTTTGCAAAGACTGCGTCCTCTAACTAACGATGAGTATAAAAAGATGACAATTCTGCTTCCGTAACAACCAATATCGGATTTCATTTTCAGTTGTAATATCCGCTCCAATTGACACAGAGGACGACCGAGAACCATCTACTGGGTCAGAAGTTGCCAAGCGGGAGGCCGGCGGGACTACCGCTGCCCCAGAACCTGTAGCCAAGAGGTCGCCACAAAATCCACTTGATGACACGATTAAAGTTGATGACGAAACAGCAGGGAGGGCTAAACGTCAAGCTGAATCGTTGCAAGTCACAACTGAAACGGTTTTTAAGCGAGACACCGAGGGGTCCTCTAAGGTTGTTGAGGAACGAGGAGTTGATGAGGAGGTTGAAGAAAAGGATGTGGATAAAAGGTCAGTCGAGGACTCAAGCCCTGAAACTGTTGTGAAGCGCGGAGGAGAAGGCAGCCGGGCTGACACTGGAGAGGACAAAGGTGTCAGAAGAAAGCGAGAAGACAACGCATCCAATGAAGAAGAGGATGAAGAAGGAGTTGAAGCTGACGAAGGTGACGAAGATGAAGGAGGAGTGTTTGGAATGGGATTTGGAAGAAAGAAGAGAGATAATGAAGGTAAGCGGTTGTTAGAGAACCTACAGTAAAGCGTTCAATATAGGGACTTAGCTGATTTTTTATTTCAGCCCAAAATCCCAACATTCTGATTAAGCGAGAAGCTCAGCAAAAACCGGATGAAACACAGACGGAGGATAAAAACCCCAGAGAAAGTCAGCCATCTGGAGAGGCTCAAGAGACCAACCAAGCAGCAACTTACAACTCAGGGCTTTCCGATTCAAACGGTGAAGCCGTTAGTCCGATCCAAGCTGTTACCAGCCACGGAGTTTTGTAAAAGTCTAATATTTTTTTGTGATATAACCCGTGTCAATAAATAAACTGTACATTATAAATAAGACTGAAAGCTTGTTGTTAACTTTGAAAAGTAATCACGGCAGAATTTGCAGAAATGGCCATAAACCGCTGCCTACAGATATTCGGCCTCCCAACTATGCTATCATGACTCACAAACCTTCAATCGCTATGTTAAAAATCGATTGTTTTGTTTAATCCTCTTACAGGATTAAATTTCTCCCACAGTCTACAAACTGTTTGCCTAACGACTAATGCAAGGCCTCAAGAAGTGCAAAAAACATACAATAAGCAAAAGTCTAGAAACTCAAAGGTCAGTGGGATAGCCGGATCATTGTGTCGCACCCATTCCAGACAATTTTTAATCATAAGCCACAAGCTGCAAGAGGAAAAAATTAAAGTTATATACATCAAAACATTGAAATTCAACCTTTCAAGCAGAATGGAACAACAAAACAAAAGCCATTTATTACAGATCAAGTTATTATTCTTCTTTTGGTGACTCCGTCGTGGGATGCCTCAACGACATGAAGTCAGATAATGGCTCTCCATTTTGTCCAAAGTTGAATCCACTTACTGGATCGTAGCCGGGCTGCTTTTGTTGCTTTTGCCCGTTTCCGATTCCGAACGGGAGATTTTCAGGGTTCTGGAAGATCGGATTATTGTTGCCATTTCCATTGTGATCCCAAGGGTTATTGCCGTTGCCATTATTGTTGCCATTTCCCCAGGGGTTGTTGCCGTTGCCATTGCCATTTCCCCAGGGGTTGTTGCCGTTGCCATTTCCCCAGGGATTGTTGCCGTTGCCATTATTGTTGCCATTTCCCCAGGGATTGTTTCCGTTGCCACCATTTCCATTTCCCCAAGGATTATTTTCATTGCCGTTTCCTCCATTACCCCAGGGGTTGTTGCCATTTCCACTACCGCCATTATTTCCCCAGGGGTTGTTGCCATTTCCATTACCGCCATTATTGCCCCAGGGGTTGTTGCCATTTCCACTACCGCCGTTATTTCCCCACGGGTTGTTGCCATTCCCGTTGCCGCCGTTGTTTCCCCAAGGATCGTTGCCATTACCTCCATTATTCCCCCATGGGTTGTTTCCGTTACCGTTGCCGCCATTATTGCCCCAAGGGTTATTGCCGTTACCATTCGATGGGGAACCCCATCCTCCGTTGCCGCCGTTGTTTCCCCACGAATTTCCATTTGGATTATTGCCTCCGTTGTTTCCCCAAGGGTTGTTTCCACCTCCGCTACCACCATTGCCATTCGGTGGGGGGCCCCATCCTCCGTTGCCGCCGTTGTTTCCCCATGGATTTCCATTTGGATTGTTGCCTCCGTTGTTTCCATAAGGATTGTTGCCATTCCCATTTGGACCCCATCCTCCGTTGCCTCCATTATTTCCCCACTGGTTACCGTTCCCGTTGCCACCACCGTTCAGGCTATCAGCATTGTCTTGATCTCTTTTGTCTGGATTATTTGGGTCAGAGGGAGCGTCTCCTGAGGGGTTATTCGGATCTAAAAAGAAAGTTTTGTATTTCTTTTTGGTAATCGGTTGATTCTACGATGTCGTAGCTTACTGTATCCGTTTCCATTTGGATTATTAGGATAGCCGTTATTGAAGCCACCACCGTTGTTGTAGCCTCCATTTTGGCCCCACTGATTTGGATTTCCGTTGAATCCGTTGGGGTTTCCACCATATCCTCCATTGGGATTCTGGAATCCGCCATTTGGATTCTGATTGTAGCCTCCGTTATTTCCCCATTGATTGTTCGGATTCTGAGGTCCCCATGGGTTCTGTTGACCGTTTCCGTAGTTATTGTAGTCTCCGTTTCCTCCATTTTCTCCTTCTTTATTCGCTGGAGTCTTGTTCTTCTCTTCGTCGGCTTTTGTGATTTCCGGGTTGTCCGATAAAACTGGAATATCATTGAGAGTCAATGCGCTTCCAGCAGGGAGGGAAAGCCCTGTAAAACAGCGTTAGTATGACACATTGATACCACCGACGGAAAAGTGCAGAAAATAGTGACATTTATAAGAAAATGCTGACTATTGTCGAGCTCTATCATTACCTTTATTTAGAAGAAATAAAATTGAAATAAATGAGATTATCATTGCAATTTCGGCTAGATTCTATACAGTGAAAAAATAGTAAAATCTGCGTAGGGAAACTGGAAAACGGGCCCAAAAAACCGTTTTATGTAAGAGGAATGAACGGCCACGGCCGATCATTATTTGTACAACTGCTTATGGCGCCCGAAATATAAATTTACAAACGTTTTCGGAGGTTTCTTTACGACTTGAGGGGTTCAAATTTTATGTTTTAATCACAACAAAGTGAGTCATCGTCTTTAAAGTGCATAAAAGATTAACACAGTTTTGATCAGAGTTGAGGGATTCAAGAATTATTTCAAGGTAACATAGCATTGGGTGAAATGAAGACAAAGTTTGAGCAGCTGGCTCCGGAGGAAGTCTCGGACAATATTATATAATTTTGCAGCGATGCGTCATGTCACGATAAAATTTATATTTACTTTGCCATAAATAAACGTAATCAATTGCGTGTACAACAAAATTACCGGAAAATTGCGTTGATTTTTTTTAGAAATTACTGAGAAATTTTAGATTTAATATTCACCATCTTCCCCCAAATTCATATCCACCGTTGCTGCCTGATCTTTCATTTCCGTCATCAAAGGGTCCCCCGTGTTGGTGCCTTCCTCCAAAGCCCCCATTGCCCTCACGCCCTCCATGTCTACCATTTCCGTGGTCATCAAAATCCTGATCTCTTCTTTCGTCATGGCCAAACCCATCGTTGCCGCCGTTTAATCTACCGTCGTTGCCGTGGTTGTAGTCAAAGCCATTTTTGCCGTCGTTGAAGCCATCGTTATTGCCGCGGTTATGGTCGAATCCATCACCGTTTTCGTTGAACCCTCCGTCCTCTCCGTGGCGATGTCCTAAATTTATGAATTAGTAATCGTGCATTTGACGAGCTTTTCATTCAAGCCGTTACCTTATTTCAACGACTTCTCCTATTTACGATCAGAACTCACTTTTGCCTTCACCGTTGCGCCCATGGCTGTCTCCAAATGGCCCACCAAATCCTCTGTTAGCGTCATTGCCATAACCATCAAAGCTGTTCTCATCTTCTTTGAATCCACCGCCATTCTCCAGGTTCGGATCGAAATTAAAGCCAGGTGCCTCTCCTAACTTCTCTTGGACTTGGCCGTTGGAAGGCTTCTTGGATACATGTGAGTATCCTAATGATTGATGCATTACAAAAAGAAGAAAATAACATGTGATATCACTCTTAATCAATGGCTTGCCTTGATTCACGAGCAGGATTACAATAAACGACTGGATCATTGTATCAATATCTCAGATGGATATTGACTTTTGCCATATTATCCGTCCTTATATATGCTCCTAAACCTTACCGACCAAACCATATTTATTTGTCCAAATGTGACCATGAAAAACAAGTCTTGCAAACAATATTTCGATTTGTAGCACCACATATTGGTGAGCGTTGTCTTATGTGCATGGCAGGTGCAAGTGATCGTCAATATAGATTTCCATATGCTGGATTTATTTACAATTAGAAATACTTTGCTTTGACTGTGAGTCAGATCATGTTCAGTTGTCACGCAACGTTTTCAGACTACAGAAACGAGTTCTGTTGTAGTTAGGGTCAGGTTTCGGATATTGATGATTCCTTGAAATACTTTGTTAAACAGCAAAGAATAGAACTGGCATTTTATTCCATTAACAATAAATTATCGCTGTTACAATTATTATATTTACAAAGCAAATGTTGCACATTCAGTTTCAGACGTCAATTTGTTTCTTAGTACCCTCCAAACCAATGATATCCGTCCTGGTTATCGTTTCCAAAAGGACTCCGAGTAAATCCATTTTGGTTTCCACGATTTCCATGATTTTGTCGACCGTTCTCGCCGTTCCCATGACGGTGTTCATTGCCGTTTCGACCACCGAAACGACCATTATTTCCGTCACGGCCTTCATTTCCGTAGGACCTCGTGAATCCACGGTTATTTTCGTCCGATCCAAAGAATCCCGGGGCTCGGGCTACACGTTCTCCACCTTCATTTTCTCCATTCTCACCTCTGTTGAATTTGTGGCTCTCTTCGTCATTTCCTTTGCCTTCAGAATGCTCATTCCCGAATTGACGGCCTTCTTTATTCTCTCCATTTTGACCAAAACCTCCGAGTTCTCCATTTTCGGTTCTATGTTCTCCTCCGAGGCCCTGTTCTTCATGCTCGCTGGATCGACGTGCTCTAGTTGGCCATTGGTCCCTTCCGCCGAGGCCTCCGAATCCGCCCTGGCCGCCAAATCCTCCTTGCCCACCGAAGCCGCCATTCTGTCCGAATCCTCCATCTCCGCGCCCCTCTCCAAATCCAAAGCCTCCATTTTGGTCGCCAAATCCTCCACCGAATCCATTTTGTCCACCACCATTTTGCCCGCCGAATCCTCCGCCGAATCCGTTTTCCCCACCGCCATTTGGGCCACCAAACATTCCTTCGCCTTCGGAGTGGGCGGAAATTACTAAAAATCAGATGGTAATAAGTCACAAATTTACTGCATAAACATTTGTAATCACATACCGGTAGCCATAACCGCAACCACTGTAAGTAACTTGAACATGGTTGAGCCTACAGGAAGCACTCAAAACAGTAAATGAAAGACTGATTTGCGTTGTGTACCCCACTGCTAAAGCTGCCTCCTTTTATAACAAAAAAAGAGATCAATTGTCCTGCAAATCTGCATGAGTCATGTAATGTTTCAACTTATTTTGAAAACTTTTTTTGTATTTTTACTTCCAGACCAGAAACCACGCAATACAATGAACTGGATTTGAGCTTGTTTTTGTTTCTGATTCACGAGGGAAAGGATTATGATTGACGTAGATGTTACTCAGTGTTGCAACACTTACTTGTTGTTTTTACCAAACTTTGAGTTGTGATTCACCTTTACAAAAGATTGCATTCTTTTATTAAAATTCAATTTGTAAAAAATAAAAAAATATTTTTTTTGAGTATATCGATTGGGCAGTGACTTAGAAACTTTGTCCTCCACGTCCTCCCTGTCCTCCGCCGTTCTGTCCTCCGCGTCCGCCTTGACCACCTTGTCCGCCACCGCTCTGTCCTCCGCGTCCGCCTTGACCACCTTGTCCGCCACCGCTCTGTCCTCCGCGTCCGCCTTGGCCTCCACCGTTCTGTCCTCCGCGTCCTCCTTGGCCTCCGCCATTCTGACCGCCACGGCCTCCTTGACCACCTTGGCCGCCGCCGTTCTGTCCTCCGCGTCCGCCTTGACCTCCGCCGCTCTGTCCTCCACGGCCTCCTTGACCACCTTGGCCTCCGCCGCTCTGTCCTCCACGGCCTCCTTGACCACCTTGGCCTCCACCGCTCTGTCCTCCGCGTCCGCCTTGACCACCTTGGCCGCCACCGCTCTGTCCTCCGCGTCCGCCTTGGCCTCCGCCGCTCTGCCCTCCGCGTCCGCCTTGGCCGCCACCGTTCTGACCGCCACGGCCTCCTTGTCCACCGCCTCCCCCGCCTTGTCCTCCTTGACCACCTTGCTGGCCTCCACCGAATCCTCCCTGTCGAGCCACTCGAACACTTCCGAGTTCTTCTTCATCGGACTCTTTTCCTTGCGGGTTTATGTTATCGGCGATTTCATTCGAACCTCCATCTTCTTCGCGATGGTTCGGAGCAGAATGGGCCACGCAGGCAACGCCATACAAGACCAAAGCGACGATTAGCAGCTTGGATGTCATTGAGCAGACAGAAATTACTGAATAAATGGATGTGATGGAGATCCAAGGAGGTAACGGTTTTTATAGGGTTTAATCGGAGTGTGTTTAGCTGCCCTTTTTGAAGGTGCGGATGATTGACAAACAATCCTGCATTTGGGCAATCAGCAAACTCATAATTTTAAAGATTACACCTGCTGAGCACTTGTGGGTGGTGGTTTGAAGGATATGAGGCGATGTGACGGAAAATTAGTCACTCGGGTCGGCAAGGTCGGTTATATGTCTGATTTGTGACATTAAGCGGGCCAAAAGTCTCGACAAATTTTTGCACGGTACGGCCTACCACTGTGCGTGGTCGGCGTGAACCGTGAATTTAGCTTACAAGGGAAGTACCCCACGTGCGACGCTCAGATTTGTTTTGAATTTTGCACACATGTCGGACATGAACCAGACATCAATTCCCGAAAGTTTTAGCTCGCGTTTTCCGGCGCCGCCCGGATATTGAACGATCTTTGCCGCCGGGAAAGCGTGCTAACCGCGGAGAGCGGTCAGAGAGCAAACCATTTTTTGGCCATAACTCCGCTAGTTTCGTGCGGAAAAAAATTATTTTTTGTGGAAAGATTACCTTCTATGGCAGAAAAAGGCATGAAACTTTTCGTGCCGAAATTCGGCAAAAGGTGTCAAATTTTCGCCGACCTTCGATGTAAAAATCTCGGTTATTTCTGCAATGCACGAGCTAGCATTTCGCATATTTTAGAAATAAATATTCTAAATTTGTGCCAAGTTTCATCAAGCGTCACACTTGGGGTACTTCTCCTGTTAGTCGTCGTGCAACAACTTTTTTAATTGTGAGCAACGATGCATCATGAAAACATGTCACGTCTTTTTGGCCGCCAGTTTTCTAAACAAGTTGCAAAATCATAGATCGTTCGTTTATTTATATATGACCATAATATGTACTTTTTGTAAGGAAAAAATCATTATTAATTTAGATTTGCACAATGCTGATGGCCATTCTCGGAATTCTCTCCATTGTTTTGATGTCTCTGCGACTTTTCTGCTTTCAAATCACCATTTTTGTGTTCAGTGAATCCACAGATGCACGACCGCGTCTGCTCGGCCATTGGTTGTTTCCTCCTTGTCCTTCAAATCCATTATTCCCGTTCTGTTGTCCACCAAAACCTTTATCTCCGACTCCACCATTTCTGGAACGTGCTGGCGTTCCAGCCTTGTTATGGTCACTTAATCCGCCGTTGTGTTCTCCACCATGGCCTCGATTTCCTGATCCTTTCGAAGCTCCATTGCCGAATCCATCTGCCCCAAAAGATGCTTTTCTCCCATTCTGTTCTGCAAAACCTCCGAAACCACCATCGTGTCCACCCAGGCCTTCGCCGAAACCGGCCGTTCGACCACTGGGATCAAATTCGCCGAACGCATGTGTGACTCTTTTGTCGGAGGATCGTTGGCCATCACGGTCATTGGTCTCTCCAAGTTTTGGAATGTGATCCTCAGAATCCCATTTATCTGTGTGATGACAGTAGACTAGAACAAAAAATAACTAAACTGCTATCAGTAACTCTCGCCAAACTCCCTTACCGGTAGATACGATTACTGCGGTTGCCAAAAAATATAACATCAATTTAGCGGATGAGATAGCTGACAGTGGAAAGGTCTTCAATCTGAATGTCTGTTTGTAGCATGCCTTCAGCAGCCTTTTTATATCAAAATAAAGGATTAACCGTATTACGTATGTATGAGTAATACAGCACAATGTTACAACGCAGTTTGGAAAGGTGTTGTGAAACAATACGGCGTGTTAGCAAACTACAGATTAAAAATGATCCAAACCTAATCCTTTTCGAAAAAAAATTTGCATAACAGACGACGTCACGGTTACTCGCCAAACTCATACCGTAGGAGAAATTACTGTCTGCATATATTATATTTACGCTGTTGATCATTGAGTGTAATCGTCTGTGACTGGTCCCGCCGAACATTGGGTTGTATTCTTGGCTTATCACCTCCAACCTTACTTATGAATTGAGCAATAAACAAGAGCAGTGTTATCATTGAGCAGAAAGATGAAAAAGCAACACCCGCCTGCCATTTGCTTTCTTGTTTGATTAGCCGATTAAATTCTTGGCTAAGACTTTTGAGCTCTATTTTGTAGTCTTTTCTAGTGTTACAATGCGTGTCATTTAATAATTTTATAACATCATAAACAAATGCAATGGGGTAAATGGGTTATGGCTTTGAAGACATTGTGGCTTAGTTTTGTCCTCTTCCTCCTTGGCTTCCTTGTCCACCTTGGCCTCCTCCGCGACCTCCTTGTCCTCCTTGGCCTCCACCGCGACCTCCCTGACCTCCACCGCGACCTCCTTGTCCTCCTTGGCCGCCGTTCTGTCCTCGACCACCGTTCTGATTATTCTGACCGCGTCCTCCCGGACCACCACTTTGCCCGCCACGGCCTCCTTGTCCTCCTTGGCCACCTTGACCTCCGCGTCCACCTTGGCCTCCACTCTGTCCACCACGGCCGCCTGGTCCTCCGCCATTTTGTCCGCCTGGACCACCTTGGCTTCCGCCTGGGCCTCCTTGGCCGCCGCTAGAGCTCGAACCACTGTCTTGACCTCCTTGAGGGCTCCGACGGAAACGACCATAACCTCCTTGACCTCCAGAGCTTCCACCGTTTTGTCCACCATACCCTCCTTGGCTTCCTTGGTTTCCTTGGCCGCCAAATCCGCCTTGGCCTCCAAAGCCGCCGCCATTTTGACCGCCGAACCCTCCCTGGCCTCCTTGATTTCCTTGGCCGCCAAACCCGCCTTGGCCTCCGAAGCCGCCGCCATTTTGACCGCCGAATCCTCCCTGGCCTCCTTGATTTCCTTGGCCTCCAAAGCCGCCACCGTTTTGACCGCCGAATCCTCCTTGGCCTCCTTGATTTCCTTGGCCTCCAAAGCCGCCACCACTTTGACCGCCGAAACCTCCCTGGCCTCCTTGGCCACCAAAGCCTCCTTGTCCTCCAAATCCACCTCCGCTCTGACCTCCAAAGCCGCCTGGAGGTCCTCCTTGTCCGCCAAATCCTCCTGGCCCTCCAGGACCTCCAAATGGTGGTGGTCCTGGTGGTGGGCCTGGTGGTCCTCCATTGTTTTCATTGGAAGATTCTTCGTCATCGTTATTGTCAGAACTGGTTGTCTGGGCCGAGACCAGTGAGACAACTGAAAGAATTTCGTATAATGCTTCGCAATTTCTAAGAAGTGCTAAAATGTATCCAATATTATGACGTACCTCCAAAGAGCATCAAGTTGATCAAAAGTATTTTGGAAAGCATGGTTGGGAACACAATACAACTACAAGTGATGTGATGAATAGGAAACACTTGCAGTCCTTTTATAGGAAGCGTATATAGGAATCAAGGTGAGTTTAGCCACCTGTTGCCGCGTGAAAGTTAAACAACACTGTTTAACACTCTGGCTGGGCGTGTCTTTTTTATTTTTTCAACGGTTAGAGGTCTGACTGCCTTTGAGCTTAGCAATATCGAAGGCACGGATAGTCAGATTCGGTTCAATGAGTCATTGGCTATGATTTGTGACATTAAATTCAAGATTATGATTTCAAAATTGGCGTGGTTTTAAACAAAAATTTATTTCTTGAGCAGGATATTTATAATGCATAATACATATTGAAAAATTTGACGCAAAATATCGAATCATAAATCTTTAAAGTTAATTCTCACACTTAAAGTGATAGGTTATTGCTGGCTTGATTGTGGGCCACCAAATCCACCAGAACCTCCTTGGACACCGCTTTGTCCTGGTCCGAATCCTTCAGGTCCACCTTGTCCAAATCCTCCTGGGCCTCCGGATACTCCTTGTCCAAATCCTCCTGGGCCACCGGGACCACCTTGGCCAAATCTTTCTGGGCCACCGGGACCACCTTGGCTAAATCCTCCTGGGCCACCGGGACCACCTTGGCCAAATCCTCCTGGGCCTCCGGATACTCCTTGACCAAATCCTCCTTGGCCACCAGGACCACCTTGTCCAAATCCTCCAGGCCCGCCTTGGCCAATTCCTCCTGGGCCTCCGGATACTCCCTGACCAAATCCTCCCGGGCCGCCAGGACCTCCTTCGCCACCAAATTCACTACTCTCTTGCTGACCACCTTGGTTAGCGCTCTGGCCTTCCTGTCCCTCTCCATTTCCTCCTTGATTTTGTCCGTTACCGTTCTTGTTGCCGCCGTGTCCGCTTGGAGAACGACGTGAGCGCTGTTCGTTTCCTTGGTTGTTATTTCCTCCTGGTCCACTCTGGACATTTTCGGTGCCGTCTTGTCCTTGTTGGCCTTGTTGCCCACCAAATCCGTCACCGCCGCTTTGGCTACTGTTCTGTCCACCAAAGCCTCCTTGACTTCCTTCAAAATTAGACTGACCTCCTTGTTCTCCAGGGCCGCTCTGGCTGTCACTGTTACCTGGTCCATTTTCTTGGTTGTCGCGTCGGTAGCGTTGAGGACCTTGACTGTTGTTTCCCTCTGGACCGCCTTGGCTGCTTCCTGGACCACCTTGGCTGCTTCCTGGACCACCCTGACTACTTCCTGATCCGCTTTGTCCTTGCTGACCCTGCTGCCCACCGAAATTGCCGGAATCTCCTTGGTTGCCATTCTGTCCGCCAAAACCTTGATTTGACTGGTCGTTGCCGCCTTGTTGTCCTTGGCCAAAGGCACCTTGACCTTCTTGCCCTCCAAGTCCTACACTATGTTCTCCTTGGCCTTCCGACTGTCGTCGGGAACGGCTTGGCGGGCTTTGACCGAAGTCTCCACTAGGTCCGCCGCTTTGGCTCCCTCCAAAAGCGCCTTGTCCGGGCTGACTGTTTCCTCCAAAGCCGCCAATTCCTCCTTGAGGTCCGTCGATGCTTCCGAAACCACCTTGGCCCAAACTTTCACCGCCAATTCCTCCTTGGCTTCCACCCTGGCCTCCAAATTCAGCTTGGCCGCCACCAAGCCCACCAAATCCGCCGCTGGACTGGCTATCGCCTCCAATTCCAGGCGGTCCACCTGACTGTGGTCGGGATAGCCCTACAAACAAATTTTAATGGATCATAATAATATATACAGCTATCATAATCCTGCCTTCACCATAACTCTTACCTTGCTGCAAAATCAAAGCGATCAGAAAAGTCTGTCGAAGCATGGTTCAATAAAATCCTACTATATCAAAGACCAAATTGTAATACGATTACCGAAGCCATCGGGTCGGCTTTTATATCAGTTTGGGTCGGATTAACAATGGCGTACGAGGGATGAGTAACAAAACGTTGCAAGTAAAATTTCGAGGTATTGCCGTAATTGGAGGATCGAACGAATGAACCGAGGTCGAGCTTGTGCTTTTTAGTTGTTCGTATTTGTTACAATGAGTCAGAATTAGATCACAAAGAACTTTGATCATGAGCTTTTATGGAAGCCCCCGGCCTTTGTCTCCTTTTTTTTTGAAAGCGGAAATTTGGTCTCATTTTTACAAAAAATATTATACTTTATTTGACGTTTTTTGCATTTTTTCGCAATCAGCTTTTACATAATTCGCCGTTAAAAACATCGATGTTTATTAGGCCTTATATCACGGAAAATATAAAAAAGAAGGTATGGCAATACGCCGGAAGTGTGTTTCCCTGACTGTTGTTCTCTTATGAGTTTCCTTTCCGCGGCTTCCTTGGTTGTTTTGTCCTCCATTTGTAGGGCCGCCTTGCTGATTTTGTCGTCCTTGTTGACTATTCTGGCCACCTTGTTGACCATTCGGGCCTCCTTGTTGGCCGCGTTGACCTCCCTGAGCGCCTTGTTGTCCGCCTCTTCCTCCCTGTTGGTTGTTCTGACCGCCCTGTTGACGTCCTCCCTGCTGAGAAGCGCGTCGGGAACGGCTCGGGGGACCTCCTTGCTGCCCACCTTGGCCTCCTTGCTGCCCACCTTGTCCTCCTGGCTGCCCGCTTTGTCCGTTTGTCCCTCCCTGACCGCCACCATTAGATCCACCTTTTTGCTCATTTCCATTTCCTTGGCTTCCGCCGAAGCCTCCAGTTTGACCTCCTTGGCCGCCAAATCCTCCTTGACTAGGCGGACCTTGGTTGAATGAAACGGAGCGTTTGTCACGGTTATCAGACAACTCGCTAGTCTTATTCTGACCTCCGTTATTGTGGTTGTTTGGGGGCTTCCCATCGAACCAGAAAGCAGCTGAATGTAGCTGGTAGCAGTTTTTACATTTTACATTGGATGTCATAAGAATTTCACTTACCTCCTTGGAAAACTAAGACCGCAAGAAGAACCTTTGTCAACATTTTGATCACTATTGTTACAGTAATCCAAATCCTTTTTTGGATGTGATATCCCTTTCAATTTCTCTGGTCCTTTTATACATGAAGTTGTTGCACAACGTCTTATTTGCTCACATTGGAAATGTGTGATTAGCATTTCATTCCCGCCACTATTTCAAAATTTCGCTATTTTCATTTATTTGCAGTATTCAAATATCCAGTGGTTGTCTATCTTTGTGATCAAGGTTGGGATACCAAACAAAGAGATTTGCGTTTGATTTGTCATCAAATGCCAGCGCCAATTCTTGCTTGTGAGCAGAACTATGACTTGTGACCTATGCTTTACTCGGTCATAGAAAGAGTCTCGCATATCTGGTGTATAGCCACTTATTGGGTACAAGTGGAGACCCGATCATCCGCTATTTCATACCTTTATTGTGATGCAATCTTTGTTTACATATCTGTTTGGAAAACGATGTTTGAACTTTGTTTGTTAGATGGCAAAGCCTGCATAAGTTTGAGTGAAAGTAGTGCTATTTAACGTAGCAACGCCATACTAACTAGATGATTTATATCTGACGGCAAATTATTTTTTCGCACCTACAAAAAATCGATTACTTTCCACATTTTGATCGAAACCGTACACGAAGTTGACGATAAGAAAGTGCAAAGATGGCCTCCCGAACTTGCCGCCAGATATAAATCATCTTGGCTCTATGTATACGTATATCAAAAGCATATAATTCGCTTAATTTTATGTCGAGAAAAAACTGAAGTACAGTAGTTAACCTCCTCCGCCACCGCCTCCTCCGCCGCCGCCAAAAGGTCCCCCTCCTCCGCCGCCGCCGCCACCACCACCGCCTCCTCCACCTCCATCACCACCATTATTGCAGCAGCTTTTCTTTTTCTGACAGCAATCACCTCCTTCAGATTCTCCATACTCGTAGTAATAATCGTAAAACCTCTTTTCTCTCACATTTTCTCCAGCATATTGAATCGGACGCGTTCGCGGACGACCATGCACAATGGCTTTCTCAGGCAACGGATCGTAGAACTCAACTTGTGGCGCTGCTGGAAATGTTACAGTGAGGGACCTGATCCAGTGGCAAAAAAAAAGTTTTGAAGGGCGCTTTCGAAATCGGAGTTTTTTCACTTGGAGAGGGAAGCATTTTGCCACATTTTTGATACTTCCCGGATGCAAAATGGTGCGTTTTTTGCCACTGGATCAGGTCCCCCACTGTAAGTCGTCAATTTCTGTCATCAGATGAAATCGACAAAAGTTTTCCGACACATTCCTTGCCTTACCTTTCACCAGAAGCAGAACACAAGCTACTACAAACACCAGCAAAAAACATCTCAATAACATTGTTAATAACTGAATTGTATATACAGATATTTCCAGAAGGCTTTTATACACCTTATTGTTTATGTCAGCGATGTTTTGATCATGGGAAAAGTACGCGTCATTATGGATCGTACTTTTTGGATCATCCATAAGAGATCGAAAAACTCTACATAGTGCAAATATATAATATGCTTTTTTTTTGATCCTTAACTATTTTCACATTCAAGTAAGATATGTCACCTTTTTCGTAAAATCCAAATTCTTCTAAATTTCGCAAAGTGTACCACATAAATCAATCAATTTTTGGGTAGCCCAGAAAATACGTCATCCGCGACCGATTTTCCAGATTCTCGATTCTTTCGATTGTACAATTTTCAGGTGCAGCTGTTGTCAGTAGTTTGCAGCGGTTTCATCTGAAACAGTGGAAGATTTTTGTGTCAGTAGGAGAATGACAAGTGTAAGGTAATCTTTTCTCGATTTTTCTTTGTTTTTAGAAAGGTTGTCCGTATATACAGAGAAAAATGACTCTGCAATTGATAAATAAGGTAATTTGGCTTTATTTTATGCTTGTTTGAATGTGAAATAGCAGGTAACAGCAATATTTCGTTACTAGGGAGCTAAAACAATCTTATAATATTGGCGTTGTTTCTACGATTTTTTCTGCCAATTCTAATCTTTACTTCCTTTTAGCACGGACAGTGACATTCACAACCCTCGGGCCCGTCACCACGCCCGCCACCTCTTCCACCTCCATTGTGGCCACTTGCACCGTCTTCATCAATGTGCCAAGGGTTTCCTCTTGCATGATAAGGTTTATAACTGTCCTCAGCCGATGAACTCACTGATGGACTTGGAACTGTTGAAAAGATACTAGCAGGTAAACCCGTCTACCTTGGTGAAAAAGAAATGATAACGCCAATACTGTCAAGAATAAGGTAAGATATTTTGATCATGATTTTTTCGGGTTTTAGGTAATATTGTGCAAGATAATCCAAGAAGAATTTATAAGATTACTAAAATAGCGTTTTGCAGATTGGTTTATTTACCTATCTTTGCAATTGTAATATTATTCTTCGTGCAATTCCCGATAAATCCTAGTAAACGTCAAATTTGTCAATAGATGAGAAGAGGAAAATTTTATTAATAATACAACCATTTCTTCATTCGGGGTTTAGGAATCAAGAGTATAATGTAATTTCGAAATCTAATTTCAATTATTCTTCCAGATTTTTCTCATTTCAGTCTCTTCACAGTCCGATGACCGGCGGATCCAAGCCGACTCCGGCTGCTTCGCCAGCCAAGTTGCAAAGTTCGAAGCAAGACATCCTTTCAAAGGGGCCAGTCCAGCCGAAACCCGCCGGATCAGCCAGAGCTTTGCCGACTAAACCACCTCTCAAGGAGAATGCTGCCGGTCTGAAGACAGCTAGAGGTGCGTTGCAGTCTTTCTGCGCGGCATTTCATTTCAGGCAGAGTTCATTTTTAGGAGACTAAATTCGATTGTTTTTTCAGCTTCCTCTACCCCTCGATCTCCACGAACGCCACATGAAAAGAAGGCGAAAGTAGTCGACGAAAACAACAACAAGAAAGTGGCGATGGAGAGGAACAAGGAGAAATTCAAGGAGGCCAGAGCTAAAGCGAGAATGGGAATCAAATCTCCAGGAGAGTCACCTCCTGAGTTGCCAACGAAGGTTGAGCCGGTGAAGGAGAAATCAACTAAAGGTATGCATATGATGAATATGAGAGTTGTCGAAAATTGACGGCAATAAACGGGTGTTCGAGCCAATGGGTTATTGCGGAATGCCAACATTTTTTTGCATTTAAAGTTTGCGTGTGAAGTGCAATTATCGACTTGACTGCTTCTGGAACACCCTGTAACTTCTTTAGAGCGCCATTCAGAATGATGTTTGTTTCAATACATTTATTTATTTTTAGCAAATCCATTTAAAAATGCGGACATTGATTGTGCAGATGTGGTGGAGCTGGAAGGCGGATGCGACACCTCGAGAATTGAAGGGGACTTGACATCTTCTGACGTAATTTCGGATTCCAACGAGCATTCGATGGATCCTCGCTCACCACCGGAACGTTATTTTAGTCCTGAAAGAGAAAAAAATCCAGTTCGACGATGCTTTTATTTCGATAAAACTGGCGCCAGAAATGAGAGAGTAAGACTTTTTTGTGATTGAGTGACTAGATGTAGTGCGGATAGGTCTTTACATTTTGAACAACCTAATGCGTTCGGTTGTTTAACGGATATTGTTTTAGGTAGATATTGATGATGATATTTATGATGAAGTTGAATTCTCATCTTCTCAAACTGTATATCCAGCTAAATTGGAACGTCAAAGAACTCATGCCAAGGTCATACGGTAGGTTGTTGTGGTGTTTATATTTAAAAATGTTGTTTTAGTTCAAGGGCGGATCAATGGAGGCGATACGGAGCTCTGCTGCAGATATACAGCATTGGTGGACATATACAACTGCATAATCGAAAAAGCGAAGGAAAGAAGACAGCATTTATCAAGGCGGGAACGAAACCTCCAACTCCACCGAGTGAGTAAAATTGTTGGCTTTTTTTGAACCTTTAGACAAGTTTATATGGCAACTTGCGCCCGAGGGTCCTTCATTTTAAAAGCGGCTGTAAAAGATGGATTTAGAGTGGGATGTTCTGATATTTCAGGCTGAAAATTGTTGTCTCTGCAACATTCGGCCAACATTAAAAACTGAATTTTATTTGATTTTTTGCAGAAGAACCCCCAATCACAACGTTAGAGGAGTTTTTCGCACGTACGATTCCAAAATGCTCGTCGAGTATTAGCAAAGAGCCTGATGACCCCTTCGAAAACACCTCCCCAGATGCCCTCACGGATCAAGACAACAAAAATGGGAAGAAAGAAAAGAAAGATGCCAAAAAGGAACAAAAAGATGCCAAGCCTGATAAGAAAGATAATCCAAAGGTCAAATAAACTGTATTTCTAGTGCCATCTTATTGGCTTTCAGAATTTTTTTTACATTCTTGTTAAAATTTTTGTATATTATTTCTGAAATTTTATTATGTTTTAGCCCTTATAGAGCTTGAATAACCTAGCCAACGGGTTTGTAATATATCATGTATGCTCTTCTCCTTTCGTCTTTTTGAGTTCATTGTTCCTCGGAAAAGTTATTAAAGATTTTTGCGAGCCGCTCCTTCATAATTGAGACGCATTAATGCCGCTGATTGATGGGCTATGATGCCAGAAACGCAGCGAATCCTCGGGTTATTGGTTTACGACCGCTAATAGTAAACGAACGATTTTTTCGTGGTAATTACAATATTCTTTTGAAAATTTTGAATTGCTGGTAGGTTTTTTGATGGAAAATTTTGCTTAAAATACGGGAAATCAATTTTAATTTCCACTGAAAATTTCATTAGGAGTTACAACCCCTAAGGCAATTTTCAGTGGATTAAAGTGAGGTGAAAATTTGATTCATGGCCTGTCAAAATGACCTTTTGTTTTGAAGACAGGTGCCATTAATGAGAGGCGATTTTAATAAGTGGGATGATGTCTTTTCGCGATAATAGACCTGACAATAAAAAAACGGGGGTTTCAATTTTTGATTCAGGATTTTTTGGTAACGTAAAATGACGTAAAGTATGCTGACATTTTATTTTTTTTATTTTTTTTAAATTTACTTCGGTTGCTCTTTGCTAGAACATTTATTTAATATCAAGACCGTGGTATCCAGACCGCTCACCATCCATCATCCCTCACATTACGCACACTTTTTCCCTTTATAACTCCTTAGTCAGCAATGCAAACTCCGCATCCCTTAAATGGGCATTCCCTTATAACCGTTTGCGGGTTGTGCCATTTCTCTCGCGCGCGATAAATAACGGAAACCCAATCGTTTTAATAATTCCAAATAATACGAAACGGATTTGTTCGGTTGAAAGGTCAAGATCAAGACGGTGCGAGAGAGCACCGCGACCGGGGAGCGGGTGCAGAGAGCGACGCGAAGCGGGCGTCCGTTACGGTGCGGGATTTGTGACCGCAGGGTCAATGTCGCCCGGAGGGCCTTAATGAATTTGCGTACTTAGGAGAGGGAGGGTAAACAAAATAAACATGGATCCGCGGTTCACGTACACGCGGGATGAGTGACCTAATAAACGGTTATGTAATCCGATTTTTGGCGGGGTTTACGAGCAAGTCTTGGAAGAGGTTTTTTTGTTTTTAACGAAGTTATGGGGTGCAGTTTTTCACATGTGATATGCTGAGCGTTCGTACAGATTTTGATGAGAGTTGGGACAAATTAAAATACGACTCTTCTCACATACATACGAGTATTTTAGCAAGACCTTTGCAGAAATGGCCGAGGTTTTTAGGCCTCTTTTTCAACAGTTCTTCAAATATACAACAACAAATAAATTTGCATGCAAAAATTGTCAAGATCTGGGTCGTCTTTTACTTTACGTATTGGTTTAAAATCGTTAAATATCCCGAAAGTCCGTGCAAAAAAAGAGCTGAAATTTTTAGGCTGTTGTATGTGGACAACATCTATGTTAAAAAAAAGTGTTCAAAATCTAAAAAAAGCCAATCGGAGCGTCAAACCACAGTTAAATTTTTAGCCTAAAAGCTTGGCCTTTATGCATTTTTTCAATTTTTTGCAGAAAGTTGCTCATTTTTCAACTTAAAACCCGCTCAACTTAATCGCACCCTCCAAACCCATTATTTTAACTAGCAATCAATATTCTAATCTAAATTCCAAAACCTGTCCACCATCATGTAGTTTATTTATTATTTTTTTCCCGATGAAACCCACATTTTAATGTGTTGTATATCTTTTTGTGCCGCCTAATCCCATCTGACCGTTTTCTCAAGATTCCCCATCGCCGATGGGAAGAGCGAAGGACGTGGAAATTGGCGTTTAGTGTCGTTGGCGTCACAGCTGGTGGTATCTATTTACTTTACTTGATTACAGTGAAAGTCGGCGTCAAGGTCGACGGTTTCTGGATTCTGAAACCCGCCTTCTGTTTCATGGGGTTATTGCATTACGTTTGACTCTCGACTAAGCTTTTGTAAATCGTCGGAAAGTTATTTTAACGCCTTAGGCAAGATTCCTGGTCTAAATAAGTTCCAATTTTTTGATCTTCTACTCTTAAAACTGATCTTGAAATTTTGAAATGATGATTTTATCGCATAGATTTTGGACTCTTATATTGTATAAAGGGACGACCGCGAAACTTTTTACCTCCGTCGAGCTCTGGCGCATCTGTCCCCAGTTCCCCTTTATCCGTCATGATCATCTTGACCCGTCCATCAACAACCTTTGAGCTATCATATAATCTAATGCGGGAACAAATCGATCTGCTCGTAAATGGCGGCTCAATTAAGCTTCCGTTCATTTGAATTTTGGGCAGTTTTTGCTTATTTTATTAGTAATACATGCGACATTTTTATTGTGGCTTTTCCTAGTTGATGCTTCTTTTGCCGACTTTCTCTTTTTATGTCTGAAATAATAGAAATTTGACAGAATTAAAGCAAAAAAAATTGTTTGTCTTTTCATCAGTCTGTCGAGAAAATAATGCGGATTTGTCGCAGCAAAATGTCTCGCCTCGTCGCACGCGGCTAGGCGTCGCCAATCTGCGATGGGAGATTTTAAAGGCGCGACGAAACCACATTATTTTCCCGACAGACTGATATACAGCTATGAATTACTTCGCGCTCATTAGCCTCATTAAGAAGATCTGTAAGCAAATCCCTTTATTTTCGCTCATTTGGATGGCCGTAAATTTTTGGATCGGCGGTGGATTTGGCCGGGAAAAAGAAAAAAAAGGATCAGCTAGGTTATAATTAGAGGCGCGATTTTAAACTCTATAAATTTCGGTATTTTCACCGCAGATTTCTCATGAAATATAATTATTGTTAAATTGAATCTATTTGCTGTAATGAAATTTTTCTCCTATCCCGTAAGACGAAGTCTGTCTAGAACGAACTATTTTAAAGGTCTCAAAAATAAACTTTAGTCCAGAAAGAACCTCCAAGCAATGAAACCTTTCTATAACAAATTCTTTTTTGTCAACTGTGCTAACTTATAGAGTTCCACTGTATTAAGTTTTGGTCCTTTCTCGCAAGTAAAGTTCTTACTTTCTCATTTTTTTCGAAATTTTTGAATCTTTCTCGCTATTTTATAAACAACTATGACTGTTTATGACACGAAAGTAAGCAAGATCGACCCTCTACAACGGCTCTGTAAAAAATTTTTAAACGTTGACCTTAACTACACCTGCCACCCTTCAGCCACATCCGCCCGGTTCACGCCATAAATTGGAGTGATAAAACAAATTGCAGGAGAATCTTCGTCTTCTTCTTCCCCCCTTTCTCACAAGATTATTTATTTGCAACTTGGAATTGCGCGAGAATTTTTAAAACAAGAAATTCATCAGGGGTACACTGATCTTTTTATTCGACAAGAATTTCCACTTTTTGCGGTATTTTTTTTAATCTTTCTTTTGAAGTTTTTGGCTTTTTGACAGTTGACTTTGAAAGGTTGTTGAAAAGATTAGCAATTGCTGGTTTAGTCGATATCGAAGGGGGTTGTCTTTTTTTGAATTTTCCAAAGTTTCTAGCGACTTTTCCGGTGGTCACTCTGTTGAAAGACTATCTGCAAAAAAGATTTACTATTATATAATATTTTAGCCATGTTTTTTTGCTAAATTTGTCTGTTTTTGTACCGACCGCATAATAGTTTTATGTTACATCGCTTTCCGGTGTAAATTTCTCCAGTCAGATAATCATTTTTTTCCGCTTTAAATTGACCAAGACACGGCCAAGAAAACGCGTTTTCTTTGACCGCATTTCGCTCTCTAATTGCCGGCTAAGATCGATGATTTTCTCGACCACCACCATTGCAAGACGCGAGCTGGAATCTTCGGAAATTTTGAGTCATACTTATTTTCTTTCTCTTAAAAATTGCAAAAACATCTTTCTGCATCTGTAGCATTGCTTGAACCGTCGTCCATTGCACTGTTGTTTACCCTCAACGAAACGAAAGGAGAACATTTTCATCACATTCTTGATGAAAATCCAATTCCTTTCCTTTCTTCATGGTAGACGCGCCGTTTGGATGGTATTTCGAATAAAAGTATCCGTTTTTGTTTCCTTTGTTTTTGTCAAATTTGAAATGTTAGAGTGACCGCTTCGGGTTTCGTGGCCGTTTTCGGGAACGGCCAAAGTTTGGGATAAAAAAAAATATGGAAAGTGTATAGTGTAATCTTATAGCCCCAGGGCATTTCATTTTCGGTTTTTGGTTGGCGACTTTTGGAACGAAGGGGGGGGGGAATGATTTTAGCCAAGATAGGGAAGGGTTTGGTCATCTTTGGCGTTTATTTTCCTTACTAACCGTTATTTCTTTATTCTATTGCCCAATTTAATAGATGAAATGAGTGTTTAAAGAGTCAAAAGCTTGTTGGTTATATACATGTTTGCCATAGAATCGTTCCATCAGCATAGTTTTCTGGACAAGAATTTTTCCCGGCGAGTCCGACCTTAAATTTCGTGCTTTATTGAAACCTCTGCTTTTGTTTTTTGCAACGCGAATTTTTGATGCTTTGAACGATGAAGAGGAAGTGAAAACTCAAGTTCTTACTGTTCATTTCAGATGTCAAGGAGGTTAAATCGAATATTCCTCCTAATCCTTCTCCTTTATGGCCCTATACTCACAAATTCCTGGTGGTTCTTCGACAGCGAGGATTCGCTAAGTAAAAAAGTCGAGGAATTAAAGCAAGAAGAAGAGGAGACGACGACAAGTCCAATCTCAGAGACAGAGGACGATTCAGAAGATTTTTTGAAATCGAATCGAAGGCTGAAATTTGGGATAAAAGAGCATCGATTCAACTCATCGTTAGTTGTTGATGAGAAAGAAGAAGAGGTTCCCAAATTGGGAAAGGAGCACGAAATTGAAGAGACGCCGTTGGATCCAGTCCCGGATACAGTTGAGACAACGACAGAATTCATTCCAGAACTACCGACGCCATTGCCGGATAGCAGTGATGACGGTGAGTATATTTACGGACGTTGGCTTCCATCTTTGGTTGATCTTTAATCTTTGGAAGCAAAATAAGTTGAAAAAGTTTAAAGAGAATATTTTTGCCTTAAATTCGCAGAACTAATTCAGCTTCTTGACCGAATCTCTGATAATATTCCAGAAACGCAGCCCGAAAAGTCCGCATCCGCTGTTGAGGAAGAGCCAACAACAGAATCGTTGATAATCCCTGCGGACATTTCGGACGCAGAGGCTGGACTCTCTGCCGATGAGGATTCGGAGACAACGTTGACCTCAATTACTCAAACCGGTGTCGAGGAGACTACATTAGCGCCTACAGCTTCACTAGACGTTGAGAAATCACAAAGCGATGAAGAAGGGCCCCAAAAGACGACGGCGGTGGAAGTTGAGCCCACAACAACGACAGAGGTTGTTGAAGAAACGACGACAACTGAGACGACAACCACGACGACGGAAGCTACGACAACCACAGAAATTACCACTACCACGACCACAGAAATTACTACTACCACGACTACACAAATTACTACTACGACGGCGGAAGCGACAACTATTATTGAGGAAGCGACAACTGAAGTTGCAGCGGCTGAAAGTGAAGCAACAACGCCGGAGGAAACAGGGGAAGATGAAGAAGCCAGAATCTTAGACGATGCAGGCCATGCAAACGAAGGGAATGCGGTCACTGAAGAGCAGCCAGTACAGCAAACCACTGTCGCAACAATACCGCCGGCATCAATTTCTGTTTTGGGCGAGGAAATTGTTTCAACTACTGAGGCAATTTCTGAACCTCCCATATTTACTCCACCAACCGCTGATTCGAATGATATTCTTAACAATATTGAGATTGAAACTCCCGACAGTAAGTATTTAATGTTTTTTTTGGAAGGTTTTAGCATATATTTATTATAGCTGGGTGTCGATCTTTGACCCCATTCTGATAGATTTGTTTGTCTTTAAAAAATTTCGATGAGAAAAAATGAAGAACCGCGCCGAGTAGGGCTTTGGATACCTCCAGGCCTGGCTTTCAGCGGTTTCAAAAATTTAGAAAATGCCCACAGCGGGCAAACTTTGACAGAGGGCAAAAAAACCACTGTCGTGTTCTTTGTAAGGGCAAAGTGGACGTAAAAACCATTACATAACGCAAAATTTCAGAAAACAATCAAGTCGTCTACATCACGGATAGCGATGTTTTACCAACAAGCACTGTCCTAAGATCTCGCGAATCGGCTGATACGGAGACTCAGAAGAGCGTAAATGAGATTCGCCCTGAAAACCCAAGGCCAGAACCACGACCATACAATCGTAAGTTCGAATTTATCAAATGAGAATTTACTGAAGAACATTGTAAGATTTTGAGAAATTTTTCTTTTTTTCAATTTCTCCATGGACAAACTTTTTTGAGACGTTCTTTCATTATTTATTCTTTGAGCTTTGCGAATTGGACAACATATTTTTTGCCCTTTTTAAATGTTATGTATCATTGCAATCTCAGACTTCAAAAAAACGCCTGTTTCTAAAAGAAGTGTAATGAATTTTGCGAGAGATAAAGGATGGTTTAAAAGGTTTCAATCGCTCCATTATCTAGTTCACAATGAGAGATGACATGATTTTGGTCTGTAAGAAATTCTTACATACTAAATTCTATTAGAACTGACTTCTTTCACTTTTATTTTAGCTATCTCGTCTTTATTTTGTAATTCTCATTTCCTTCCCTCCACAACTGCCTCGTCAAGAATATCCGTTGCAGCCGACCTTGACGGCATTTCGCAAACAAAAAATCGATTGCGGTTGATTAACTCGTCTCCACCTTTATCCCGCAGCAGACAAGGCGGGGATAGATCACCAATAATTTGCAAAGCAATACGAAAAAACATTTCGAACAATCTTTTATCGGATATTTATTGGTTTCAAAGACCTGAAGGTGTTGCTGGGTGCTTAAAAACAGCCTTTGTGAAGCAATTTTTGTAAGAGCGAGTGTTTTCTTGGCAGTCGTTTGCATCGTGCAAAATAGTCAGCTTAGCGCAACATTTGGCTTCGTATTTCATAATTTCCAGCACACTCAAAAATCCTTTGGCTGTCCGAAAAACGTGAGCTTATCGAGATCCCGACAGGATCCATTATTAAGTGGACATGCAGGTCAAGAGTTTCCTTCGGAGGCTATTTTTATTTCCTAGGCAAAAATCAACAAAAAAAATTTTGATCGCCATCTCTGTTCTGTAAATACGTTTTACAGAAGCTCAACCAAAATTTGAAACTTTAAGAATTGTAATTTTTGGTCACAAACTTTTAAGAGTGCGGCGGACTTTTTTGTTGATCTAACCGTTGAACCACTTGTGTGATCCTCTCGAGTGGCAGCGAAGAGGCTTGTAGATGGGCCAAGAAAATGCTGCTTGTTTCGTCTGCGCGGATATTTACATAAAACGAGGAAGGGCGAAGATTAGTGTTGCGAAGGCTGGAATGACGCACAGGTCAAGAGGGTTGAGTAAGAGGGGATTTTTTGGGGGGATTGGATTATCTAATATGTCATCCGATGATGCAAAGTAGAAAATAAGAATACCCTTTTAAAAACGGAAGAAATTTATCTCACCTACCGTTCTTCCCTATTCTAAAATTTTTAAGTCTTTGATTTTTACAGTATCCTCTTCGGCAGGTGTCTTATATTTTTCTGGTTCCTCGAGATAGGTGTTTTATTATTAAAAAAAGGCGTCGTAATTAAAGGTGTCACAGCGGTATATGCGAAACGGATATGTGGATTTATTTGCGATCCCGTTTCTTATTACATAAAGGTCAGTTGAAGAGGTCAACACGGCTGGACGGTTGCCTTCTTAAAGTGGTTATTCGCTAATTTGCATACACAACCATTCCTTGCTTTTTCGCCCACTTTCTGTACAAATCTCAGTTGTTTGTTTTCCACAGCCGACGGCTAAATACTGAAAACTATTTTTTTGATTCACGAACTCCAAGGAGTGGAACGATTCCTTATTCAGCGATTTCCAATGTCCAGATGAATGGGTTTGAGGAACGGCGACTTCTTTTGAGGCTTTTGTATGCCAAACCCGGTCTGTCAAAATTTAGGGCTGGTCAAAGAGGGTCCAAAAAAGAGTAGGAGGCTTCTTTGAATATCAAAAGAACAGATAGACAATATACCGTTCTCTCGCCGAACCGTGGCAGTAATGTTTCGACAAATCACCGCGAGTTCTCGGAGGAATTTCTGCCCATGGCTCCCGATACTTACAAACTCATCTATCCGCTCGATTGCGTCAAAACCCACGCATAGCCGGGCGCGCATTTCGAATAGCCAATCAATTGTTTCGGACCGGGCCCCCCTCTTCGCGAAGGATGTCATAACCGCCGTTTGTTTCAACAAGTTGCGCCGACCTATCCCCCATTCCTCGTCCAAACAATCGGGGGTGGTGAAGATCAAGAAGATTTGAAGATTATCTTTTTTTTCGAGAGACAGGACTTTTCGGACAAGGATCAGGGTTTATTTATTAGTGGATTAGGAGAAGAGAGGATGTGGATTATGGAGTAATAGGTGGAGGTTGCTGGTGAGGACTTAAAATAAAGTCAAAACTTTGCCAGCGAACAGCAAATTTGTAAAATTTGTGGTTTCTGAAATTTTGATTGCCTAAGAACAACAGTTTCTTAAAGATATATTTTTTGTCGTGGTAGAAAGCCTCTCCAGGACATTGCTCTAGGATCCCGTCTGACCACCCGCTGAAATTTAAAACTACAAGAGTAAAAAACCCGCTGCAACGGATATTATACTGATCAACTTTTTGTAATTTACCCTACTCATAAAAAACAGTTTGGACGCCAATTATTATACATGTTTTGATTATCAGCTAATTCCTCGACATTCTTTGATTTGTTTAGCATATTACTCATTCCTCCCCCTCCTGCTATAGTTCAATCTGCTCCAGCTTGTCCATCATTTTATTTATTTTCTTCGTCACATAAAAAATAATTCCCTTCTTTTGATAAGAAAATAATGAGGATGTGGAGAGAAAAGTTTTTCTGGGAAACCGCAAAACCGTTTTGCTATTACTGTTTAAAAAAACGATTTTAGCCTCAAAATCACGCAAATATTGAAATAGCGCATTTCAAGACGATTCCTTTCCATTTCTTTTGTTTTTGTCACCTATTATATTATACATTCTCTCTCTTCCTGCATTACAGCATATGCGTCCTTTTCCTGCTAATTTTTTACGATTGAAAGAAATCTTTCTATGAAGTCTGGAACGGATTTTAAGGCTGATCAAAGATTTCTTTCCATTTCCTTTTTTTGTAAAAAAATCCCTTTCCATTTGGGACGTATTTTATAGCTGTTGCGACTTTGAATATTTGCCCGTCGGGAAAAAAAGAAGTCATAAAATGTGGCGTAAGCGTTTTTTTTGTAAAAAATGGCTGATAAGCGAGTCAAATTTGCCGATGAAACCGTTGATGTAAATAAAGAATTGGGCGAGTTTACTGCCCAATGATTCATTTAAAATTAGTCTAGTCATCTTTGACAGTTCTTCTACTGGCTTTCTATTTTTTTTGATATGGCCTTTAATTCTGATTTTTGATTCGCATTTCAAGTGGCAAATTTTGACTTGTTATTTGAAGATAACAAAAGTGTGAAAAAGCTTTTGAATTTATGCAAATGCCAAAGTTTTTAACGCCAAAAAATTCTGTGAAATAAGATGGGTCAGTTTTGTTTGAAAAAGTCGTAAAAGTCAAAAGTCGGAGAACAATAGAACGGGAAGTTTTTGTGGTGGGCATTTCTTGTATTTCCGATGATTTTTGTTTGTTACGGACAATCGGAATATATTTCAAAATTTTTGAAATTACTAATGCCGTCTTAACACTGATTTCTGTCTATTCCAAATGTATGACAGGCCTATTTTTGAGTAACGAACAACTTTTTAATGGCTTGTTGATCTTCTATCCCGAGCCTCAAAATCTTTAGCCATTTTTTTCTTTTCTCCGCGCAAAGTACCCCACATTTTTCTGCTTTATGTACCATTACCGCATTGCCTTGTCAGACAACCAAACTCTCGGGTAGATCTGCACCATCATGGGGCCTCCGCTGCTGGCCGCCTTATCGGCCATTCTGGCGCTGTACCGAGTCACCCTCAACCTTCCGGATGTCCCATTTTCCGCCGAACTCCGCCGTCCGCATTCCGTGGAGTTCAACAACATGGCGACGAGGATTTCGACGGCCGCCAAACAAGTCTTCCAACATGAGCACAACTTTTACAATGTGACAATTTTGCAGTTTAGGTACAACTCGGTTGTTGGGACCTCAGTAATTTTTGATCTCACATTTACCGAGCAGAATCCATCCGTCGAAAAAATTCTGATCGAAGCGGTAAAGAAGGGCCAATTCGGGTCTTTGACTGTTTCGCCAGATGGATTTGAAGTCGCGGAACATCAAGGTAATTGGAAAGAGTTTGTTGACCCTTGGTCTACTAATGTTATTTCTATTGTGGAGTTTATTAAGACAAAGATTTCTATCTTTATTTTGCAAAAATTACTTATCTATCTCTATCCCTTTTTCTGCTTGGTTGCTTTTTATCATATACGTTTTTTTTAAATTTCTAACCCTTAATTAAATATGTAAATAATCAAAAAAGTTCATGGAGAAATTGAAAAAAAAAATCTTTAAGGTTATTGAGTGGACCTTCTTTACCAAAAAATACTATCTAATCCCGGTTTTTAGCCAATTCATCTCGACCAACTCGCCATTGCTCTGATGGTAGCGTTCCAGAGTTTAGTTTGTAAGTTTTTTTTTATGACTTACTGTTTTGAATTTTGTTCGAATATAGTATGAATATTGAATTATCAATTGCAAAGGGCCTTTCAACCTTCGTAATTTACAAATCGCATTTCAGACACGGCAGCACGTATTGCTGGAGCGACGCCGTTTGCCCAACCGGATACGCATGCACTGACGGACAGTGCTGTCATTCTTCTGGACGTAGGTTTACGGAAAACAAGAAAAATTGAAGCTGAAAAACTATTCTGATCCGTTCCCTTGGACTTACTGATTTTATTTTGAACATGCTCCAGACATGTGTGACACACGATACACAAAACCCACAGCACGGAAATGTGCATCAAGCTATGACATATTTTGATTTTATTGTTAGCCCAAAAAAGGGGCCCTTAGAGGGCCAAAAAAGAGAAGAGTAAACTTTCAGGAGAAAAGTTTAAAATTAAGTAAATTAAATGCTAAAAATATTATGTACAGGGTGTTCCAAGAATTATGGAAAAAACTATTCGTTAATAACTTTGTGCCCGGTGGTCCAATCCTAAATTTTTTTTCATTTTGCAGAAAAACCTTGGAGTTTTTAGAATCAAAAAAAGATTTTTTTGTTTTATCGGCGGAGACTTCCGTAATCCGCCTTGAATTCGGCGGAGTGCTTTTTTCACAAACGAGGCCGTAAAAATGGGTCCATTTTTTCTCCGCCGATTTCTACGCCGAATTGCCCCCTTTTCTTCTCCCAGTGGGCCGAAAACGTAATAAGTCCTGTTTAGGCGCCATGTCACCAGCATTACCATACGTTTTGGTTTTAGCCAATTTTGACTCAATTTTTCGGATTGGACCACCGAGCACAAAGTTATTTATTAATGAATAGTTTTTTCCATAATTCTAGGAACACCCTGTACAATATAAAAGTAAACTAAACTAAATTTCTGCATCTTCTCCGGTGGCGGCTTCCGATTTTTTCCCATCTGAATTTTGTTCTTTTTCGCATAATCACTTCTTTAACATTAATATTGCTGTTTCTTGTGTTGTGAAACTTTTTGTGCTGTTCTCTGCATACTCACTCCAGTCCACGTTACTCGTCACTCACTGCTTCTTTAGCCGATTCACTGCCAAAGCACTGCGTGGACACGGCTTGGGAATGTGACGGTGGGAGATGTTTGCCATGGGAGAAGCGCTGTGACGGCCAGCTTGACTGTGCCGATCAGTCCGATGAATTCTTATGTGGTAGTTGTCTTGTCATCGTTTTTGCTTTTCTTGTCTTCATTTGACATTATTATTTCCCTGAAAACAGATGTTTAGTTGTTTAGTCCTTGTTCTGGTGTACCACTATGTTTATGTATATATCTGAAAATATTGTTTTCTCCGGCTGGTCGTACCGATACATTTTTCAGAGAATCAGAAACGCTCAGTGAAGCATCACTGCGATGAGAACGAATTCCGATGCCGTACTGGACAATGTGTCCCCCGCAACGTGGAATGTGACCGGCGATACGACTGCTCAGACGGCTCTGATGAGCTTCACTGTGGTATGTTTTTTCCGAAAAAAGCGTTGGATCACATTAAAATGCTTGTTTTATTTTCTAGATGTCGTTTAGTCAAGATTCTTGTATACTAACGCTTAGCGGCCCAAATTTTCTGTTTTTTACGTTCATTAAGTTTCAACTATATTAACATTGCTGTAAATTGTCGCAGATTATTTCGCTAACCACCCGCATCATCAGCAACGCGCCGAGACAGTTCGTGAGTCGCCGCAAGAACTGCAGGCTCCTCAAGAGTCGCGTAAAGACTGCACTGACCAAGAATTCCAATGCCCTTCGGGAATTTGCATTCACTACGAGAGGATTTGCGACGCGCGCAACGATTGCGGCGATAATTCGGATGAGGCAAACTGCGATTCCGATGAGTTGAATTTGAAAAAGAAGTGTACTCAGTATGAATACGAGTGTCAGAATGGAGACTGCATTGATATTCGGAGGAAATGCGATCGGAATTATGATTGTCGCGATGGAAGTGACGAAACTGTCTGTGGTATGTGTTGTAATGTGCCCGGTCAAAGGTGTAATTTGTTTTACATAGTCCTGTGAAAGCCACGAAAGGCAAATATCGTTATATTTTTTCTTGTTTTGCAAATTTATACCATGCTTTTTTGTTTTTTTTTCAGTTCAGCCTTTATTAATTGCTTTTTTTAAGTTTATCCTTCAATAAGAAGTAGATGACCAAATTTAAAGTTTTGTTTTCTAGACTATTTCAACCGCGTTCAGCGTCCAACTACACCTCCAGAAGTCTTGGAAGAGCAGAAAAGAGCGCAGGAAGCGGAGCGACGAAGAATCCACGAGGAACATCTACGAAGAGTCGAGGAGGCCAAAAGAGAAAGAGAAAGATTGGTAAGTGTGGATACGAGTTAGCTGAGGAGTGGCAAAGTCGTCTAACAATAAATGTATAGGGAATTCTAGCAGGTCAAGGTGGTCGCGAGCTTGTTTACGACCAAAAAACACGTCTTGGTAATCAACCACTAACAGCATTTCCGGTTTTTTGAGCAACCACCTTGCCCTAGGTCACGACCTAGGTCGCGAGCTAGTCAAGTTCAGAAAAAATGAACACGATTTTCGAAATCAGCACCCTCGAAAACCCTTCAACCAACTTTTTTCCGAAAAAAATCAAAAAATCTTCACTCCGGGGTCGCTTTACCCCATTTTGGGTCGCAATCGATGCGGGGTCGCAATCGAAGGATTCCGTTGCGGCGACAAGAAAAATTTACGGTGCAATGCGAAACCGCACAGTGCAAAAAAATGTTTTGAAAAGGGCAATCGAAAGCACAGTGCGCCCTTTTTCGCACCCCGCCCAACTTTTATCGCGCAACGCCGGATGCATGCGCCCCCACAGTGCGAAAACATGTCAAGACTTTTTGGCCCGCCCAGTATGGCATGTGGGCTTTTTCGTCAATGTGTTTGTAGAGCACTTCTTCCACCTATACGAAGCTCAATTTTAGGAAGCCATCCAAACGAATCAAGTCAAAGCCGCGGAGATAAACTTTGATGACGGTGGGTTTATTATTTTTTTAACTTGACGGCCTACGAAGATGTTATTGCGTATTACTGTTTTCAAAAGCGACTTTATTAAAAAGTTTTTTAACAGCATATAGTAAAAAACGAATTTTCAAAAAATTTCGAGAGACTATGATTGATTAGCCCTCAGGTTCAAGATCATATCCGTCATGCTCTAAAAAATCGCAAAATAACAACAATAGAAGCGAGATTTCTTAGTATTTTCATTTTGAACTAGTACTATGACAATCCAGAGAGCACAATTTTTTCAAGAAAGTGCTTTCAAAATTCATCCTTTTAGCCCCTAAAATCCGCATGGCTAGTAAAATTAACCGCCAAACTTTTTGTTTATCCGGATCTCTTTCACCCACTTTTTTTGCTTAATTCGAATAAAAAACACCAGGCCGGAGGAGTGTCAAAGTCAAGCGGGGATAAACAGACAGAAAGCAACAAGATCCAACAAATGTTCTTCGGGGACCCGTGCGTTAGATGTTTCTGGGCATTGACGAGGTCTTGTTTCATTTAAAATACGTCATTTTGACTATTTTAAGCTAAAAAGTTAATAATATGTATGTAGGTGGAAGGCCACCGAGATTTGAAATAGTTAAAACGCTTTTAATTACAAATCGTAGTTTGGCCCGGACATTGTTAAAATCGATGTCTCAGAATTTAACGAAACTTGGTAGATTTAGTCACTGCTAGGCATAGAACATTCGCTTTCTTTGTTTTTTTCCCAAAATTGCCATACGGCGGTTAAGTGTTATTTTCTTCCTCAAAAAATATGCCCTAATCGAGAAAACGAAGCTCAGATCGAGTTCAGTTGTTTTAGCGCAAATTGAGTTCAGTTGTATGTTTTCGACCATGTAGAAAATTGTTGTAATTATCACCAAAAACTGAAAATAACATCTAAGCTATGTTACACTTAAGGTAACATACCATTTCAGGTATAAAAAGTGCAATTTAGAGGTGAATGGTGTTCCAAAAATATACATCATTTTCTATTAATCATCCCACAGATTTCCCAGATTCCCGTTATTTTTCACCCTCCACTTCTTGATCAAAATTTCTATATTTTCCTTGACTTATTTTTATATTTCGTCGTTTCTAATTCTTCACGTCCCAGATGTTTCGAAAAAAGGGGGGGGGGGCAAAAAAATGAAAGTGAGATCTTCTCTGGATCCCCTCTGGCCCGGGAGATCAAAAGAAGCATGCATTCGCGCATTTTCTTCCCTTTTTTTGTTTTTGTCTGCAACAAAAACCTTTTGGATTTCATGACCGGAGGGGACGGGTGGGTGAAAGGGATTGCGCAACATTTTAATTAAGATCCAGACGAATTAAGGATCACGGTGCACGCTGATTAGGCGGAGGTTAGTCTTAGCTTCCTCGTTATGGGTTCCCTTTGCTCCTTTCTTTTCTGCTTTTTTAAATTCTTGGAAATTGAATTTTCTGATCAACGATTGTGAGAAAAAACAAGTCGTCGCGGGGAAGGTCCCATCAGCCGCCGGAAAACTCATTTATTTCCGTTCTAGTTTAATCGGTTTCGAACCTAATCGGAACGCGTCAAAAATGTCTTTGATCAAGAATTATCAGCGTTTGTCAGCATTTGTTTGGCGGAGTGGACATTGTAGTTTCTCAACAGTGCGCTTTTTAGAAACCCACTGTACTTCTCAGTGCATTTGAGTTATCATATTATTACTTGAATTGTGTTACTGTCCTTGGTTTGTCCGGAAAAGGTGTTACATTTGAGGGGCGTTCCCAAACTCGAATGCAAACATTTGCGGGCATGAAAAGTGCGGGAAAATTCCAATAAAGAAATACGGAAGAAAATGACAACAACGATCACTTTTTACTTTGCATGTGCAGATATTGTATTCTTATAGTCACTAGAAGCTTTTTTCCCAACGTCAAGTCTTAGTTGGTGAACAACAGTGCTCGAGATTTCAGAGAATTCTTTCTGTCCGCAAAATTCCTACCGCGATTTGATCAATTTTACAAAGCCTGAATCTTGCCCACTTACTTTCCGAGTTATGTAAAACCATGAGTGTACCCCATAACTTTGTCGCATTCCGTCCGCATCTTAAACTTTGTGGTCAATCAACGCTTTAGTGGGAATTCAATGAAGCTGAAAGTTATTTCCAAAAGACAACAAAACTCTCTGCTCCGGAGGCGCTTTTTGCAAAATTTTTTTGCGCGAATGACTCCAGGTTTTTGTAAATAAATTCTTAAGACTTTGTTTCTTTCCAATTTTGTCCAAATTTAGCGCGGCTTTTCATTTCCGTCAACGTTCTGCTTGTATCGGAAAAATTGTACAGTGTCTAGAAATAAAAGTTTCGTTGTGTTTCTGAAGATTCGTTGGCTCTTCTCTGAGTCACCAATCATTCGTCGTCTGGCCGTGTGTCTCATACTCTGATCAAACAACAATTTTTTTTACATACATATGCCTGCTACAATAGAAAATTCGCATAACAATCGAGCTAAATGCTGTGCACTCCTTCTCGAAAATGTGGCGTCCTCAGCCTTTTAGAAAGATTGTTGTGTAAAAGTTCAGCCGTATTTTGACCACTGAATTTTGTTGCAACTTTGACGCTTACTCCTCCCGCTTCCGTAAAATAACTTTTTTGGCCCGTCTTTCTCCGAATTCTCACCCATTCGTATTGGGATTCTTACGCATCGTACAGTCTGGTCATTTCACGGCTTTCGCTCTTCCCTCTGAACTGATTTTGATGAGTCATAGCGGAAGGGCCAGATCGTATTTTCCGGCCCTAAGGGGAGGGAAATATTCATGGGCTCAGTCATTTCCAAGTTTTATTGTCCGATGCTTAGATGAGGACGATAGGGAAGCCGCCTTGGGGAGGACTTGATCGAGTTTGATCTTCGCCAAAATCCGTCTTATTTCAAAAAACTTAAAGATTACCATTACGTTATTTGACTAGATAGAGAAATTTTTTGATATCGGTCTCAAAAACCAAGCCCTCGAGCTTTATCAAGCGGTAGGAACTTTCGCACATCCTTGATTAATCAAAATCCGGGCAAAAAAAGATCTTGATCCAAGAGGTTTTGTCTTAGTGTGACTAATGACCGATTTTTGGCGGTTGCAAATGTGTTGGGTTGGATTATTTATCGGAGGCCTACCTCTTGGTCTTTGGCAAATTAAGCCTTTCACCTTCTTGGCACAATATTTTTGTTTACTGGTTGAAATCACAACGCTATGTCTGCTTCAAAAATGCAGAAAAGTTAGACATTTTGGATGACTCATTAAACTGTAAAAAACGGTTACATTTTTTTGTCAAAATCATTCTCGTACAAAAAATCAATCTCTTCAATGGGGAGTAGGGCAGAAAACAGTTTCGTTGACAAACCCAATTTTAAACAAGGAAATAGTGCCTGTAGGGAAGAGAGGAATGCAATTCGTCTATTCGTCATCCCTTCGAATCGCGCTTCAATAATTAATTTAAATGCGGGCAAGTATTTTTTGGACGGTGAAGAAGTTTTTGACATTGAGAACATGGGCGTTTGAATGCAATAAAAATCAGGGAAGAATAAAGAGTTTAAAATGAAAAAAACATACATTCGGCCGAATTTCTTTAAACCTTGTTTCTATTAATACACATGTAAAGCGATTTTTTACTGATTTACACTTTTTCGATTTTCAGTTAGCCCCCTCTTCCAATTACTCCAAATTATTTACAAACTCTCGTAAACAAGTCGATTATTAAAGCGCGACTTCAGCGCCTTCCTTGATGGTCCCATCAATCTTGCGCCCAAATATTTTTTATTTATTTCCTGGCGTTCATAGCCCCGTTTTCCGTCGTCTAATCAACAACGTCGCTCTTCATCGTGCATAAAAAACGCGGGGTGCTGGAGGGTTTTTGGCGGGGTCGGTTTCTCCTACTGTCTAAAATGATGGGTATTGCTTTGGGTGGGATTAAAGATAAGGTGTGATTAAGAGAACCTAGGATGATGTCTGAAACATCAAGGGGTTCGGCGAGATCGTTGTGTGCATAGCATTGTCATACAAACGCCGAGAAAACGTTCTTCAGGAGGTCCAGAGTTGGTGAACACAGTGCGAAAAAGAGTAGGTAGAGAGGACTTTCTTGTCCGAGAATGGCTTGATTGCTGTAGGAAACTGGTTAACAGTTTAATAAACGGTCTGTTCGTGAACCATCCGTCAATTTAAAGGGGTTTACAAAAGAGTTTTTAGTAGGATTGACAGAACTAAACCTTAGCCCATTGAAAAAACTGATTTTGTTTTATCAAGGCTTTTGTCGCCGTAGCGTCCTCAAGAAACGACGATCTCCTATCGGGCATAGGTCAATTTGTCATCACTATCTATTTATTGCAACATTCCAGACCACTCACAGGTCACTTTGGTAGCCGCTGACTAAGCCCCCCGCCATTACTTTTTTTACTGTTTATTTCCTTGCGGTTTTAACGGCGTTTTGATTTTACTGTTTTTCTGTATAGCCCGTCGTTTTTTTTGTAAATTTGCGTTTCAATTGTTGTGGGAGTGAGTCATTTTTGCGTCGGGGTTTTGTGGCCCTTCCGTTATACTTTATCTTTCCTCCATATACGACGGTCGGAATGGTTTCGTATGTTTCCATTCAGTCGTTTTTCAAATCATTTTTGCATCGCAAGAACCTCGGGTGGCGATTGTGAGTGAAGTGTGGTTGAGGGCATAGCTCAATGCAGTGGTGATGAATTTCGTGGTAGGACTCGAAAAGGAAGATATTTTGTACGTAAAATAGTTGTGGAGATGACTTAGCGCCCTTATATAGTTATCATGCGACGCGTTTCGAACTTTCTTTTGCCGCCGGCGGTTTCCAGCATAGGCACTCCGCAACACGACCTTGTCCTGTCCTATTAAAATCTCGACGAAACTGCGTCGAGAAAAGTTTAGCGATGCGTTAATGAGGTGCCGTCGGGCTCCCTTGAAGACCAGCCTGAAACCGCGAAACATATGCAAAATTTGTTCGGCTCTTTGCGCTCTCACAAACCTTTACGATCCATCGACTTCGGCACAAAA